TTCAGCCGAACACCCCAGTGGGTGTGTCTTTCAATGAGGGCAACCAAAGGGAACCACATTTTTGTTGAACAAAGTTTTTGTTTTTTTTTGGGGGGGAGGGGGGTTCCCTTGAAACAACCACAGCCAAGTAGCTGTCAAAACCCGCCAGGTGCTTTCCCCCTTCTCCAAAAGCGCGACAGGGGCCAGGGGTCAGCGGGCCGAAGCCGCACACTCGGCTGAGTGCTAGTGCTGCTTTGTAGGACTTGCACTGAGCGCTTGCAGTACTGCTGCAGGGGCTATGGTGCTACAAAAGGTACTGCTAGTGTACGCATGGCCGGAGCACTTGTTAACATACGAGCTTTTTGGGCTGTGCAAAACCGAAAGTGGAGCCTGAGACGCCAGGGGTGCTAGGGCGTAGGTAGTCGAAATTAAGCTTGGTGTTGTGCCGGTCTTCGGGGCAAAACCGGGGCCAGCCTGGTACTTATTTTCATGTGGCTTGTGAAACCCCCACAGGTGTATGACAACAAATTTCTGCCCTGGAGTTGGATATGGGGTTACAGTATATACATGTTGCATATGTTTGTGTGTGTGTGTGTGTGAGGTTGTTTGCTTTTGCTTTGCTTGCTCGTTTCTTTTCTTCTTTTCTTTCGCCCATTTACACATTTTTACACATATGTTATGACCACTCTCCCGCTGCTATCTCGCTGCGAATCTTCAAGTCAAAGGATTGACCACGCCTTGCCGAGGTTTCGCCTCACTCCGGGCACCAAGTGGTGCGGCGACGGAGGCCGATAATGCGGTGCATGGCAGTGGGCTTCCACCAGCACAGGGCCCCGTCGACCTCACACGACCTCCCCCAAAATGGTGGCTTATGTGGGGAATGGCCCCCCAACCACCTTATTTCAGGCTGGTGAAATAGTATAATTCACCCAGATAGCTTGGGGCCAGTGAGGAATCACCCAAGTGGCAGCTGATTTGGAGGATCCAATTGAGAAGCAGCCAGGTTTGGAATGCAATCTTCAACGATCCGCGAGGCAGCACCCCCAAGCGGAAGCTGGGTATAGAAGAATTCTAAGACCTGCGCGCACGGCTTCTATAATTAAATAAACTCATGAATATTTGTATATGTTTGTATATATGTATATATTGCTTTTTTGGGTACCTTTGCCTGCGCAGTTTTGCACATGCGCTCTCCGTCATCCTTCTTCCTCTTCCACTGCGCCTGCCGTGTTCGTGGCTTGTGCTACTGTAGCCTTTGCCCAGTCCAAACTCTCATCAGCTGGAGCCTGCCTTCTCTTTCTTTGCATGGCTTCTGCCGCCAACTCAAGCTTCAGCTTTCTTATTCCAAGGGAAGTTTAGTCGACCTCCGGCCCACTAGGTTGAGTCAACCCACCTCTTCCGGGCTCCAGTTGACGCAAGTTTTGCCGGTTGACCAGACGTGTACCATTGCTGGACTGCCATAGCGCTAGTTTGTTGATTGCAACAGCTTGCTGCAACCAGCCAGATCCTTGTTGCGCTCTTTTTTCCCACGGGGGCTTGCAGAACAGACTTTTGCAATGCATGCTTTCGCTAAATAGTCGACTTGCAGAGAACTTGCCATACACAAGAAACTTAGCAAACAAAATCCTCTCTTTGTACCATACCTCGACCCAACCCTAGCCTGGGCCAGCGACCGCTTTTTCCTTCGCTTGGCTTGCGGTGAATAGTTTCAAGTCTCAAGCTGGGTGGAGGTGGGCTTTGTGTACTAAATTGTTACGTGGCACGCTTAGACCCAATCCCAGCCTGGGCCAGCGCCCCCTTTTTGCAGTCGCTTGGCTTGAGCAGTTTCAAAGTTCAACTAGGTCCTCCAGTAGAGAGGTCAGAATAAGGGCACCCTTTTTCTGTAGTCTTTTTTAGTAGGGGAATGTGGTGCTCTTTGTGTACTGGACTTGCAATGAATAGCTGCGACGTTCGAGCTGAAGCTGCGGCACTTTACATTGTGCCACTTATACTTGTCAAGCACTGTGTCCGTTTCACCTGAGTGTGATAACAAAGACCCCGGTTATATACCTCTGTTGCAAAAACATCGTGCCGCGTTGCGCGTTGCATGCCCTCAACCACTGCTGATGGAGCTGTCACACTGTCACACACACATATGTGAATACACATGTGGAGCTGACAAACGGGTTTTGGCAGACTGCACTCCTCTTGAAAAAGTATCTCAACTTTTCCGTTTCCATCAGTTTTAGGTTTTAGAGAAAATGGGTTCAAGTGCCCGCAAGATGTTTCTCTTTGAGCACGTCACTTCCAAGAGAGTTCCCACTGCTCCGAAACAAGGTTGTTCCGCCGAAATAGACAAATGGACCCGACAAATGGTGGGCGTGTCGCTCTGCTTCCACAGCCACAGCCTATCCGAGTCGTTCTTCTTGCCGCCGAGAGGTTGGTCTCATGTGAGCTTCTTCTCGGTTCTCCGCGCCTTGGCTTGGGACGGTCAGGGCTTCTCTGATTTGAGTGACCCACGGGCATGTGTTGTTTGAAGTATGCATTGAGGTCGTGGGACACGGACCCCATAAATCAATATATGTATATATGTAGATATGCACATATATCCGCGCATGGTTCAGGGTTCCTTGTACTTCTCTGAAATTATCCCGCCCAAACGACACATGCTCTAACTTGACTCCGCGGTGGAATCATATACAGGGGAGTATATGTGCCGCGAAATGAGGGAACCCCTTAACCGGCATAGCTCTAGTTGGAGACAACCTGGTGGTCCTGCAGAAACAAGGACGGGGGCGGGTTGTTCATCAAGCTTTGCCCAGCTCCGGCACCGAGTGCCAAGCCTCAACACGGATACATTGTAAAGGTTCCTAAAAGAACCACGACCGCCAACACAAGAGGCATGTACGATCGCACACGCGTGTGTGTTTCTGTGTCTCTGTGTCTCTGTGTCTTTGTGCCTCTGTGTGTGTGTGTTCTTTATGCGCTTTTTGGAGCTAGTTCAATGGCAAAAAAGGGCAAGCCGAAGCCTGAGAGGTGCGAAAAGGCGAAGGAGCTTTGATTATGACGCAATATGCAGAGGTGGTGTTTGATGGCACGCGGTTCTTTAAAGGGACAGCCGCAATATGTTTGACAGGCTTTCCTGTTTTGAGATGCGTGAACACCAATAAACAGAAGTCCTTGTTGTGTCCTTCGCCAAGGTGCCGGCATAACGATTCCAGTGGAGAAGCGCCTGCCGATTTGCATCTCCTACAACAAGAACGGCGCGGGCCGCACGGATTGTCCCTCCAGCTCACTTCTTGAAGCCTGCCGACTATTTCTTGGTTTCGAGCGAACTGGGAAGTAAAGCCAGCCAGCTTGCCAGCCCTCTGGACACCCCTGATTTCAGGTTTTGGGGGATTGTGTGATGGTGGTTCCCTCTGGGTGATGTTGAAAGCGAACCTTGTGAGCACCCTATACTCAGCTCCATTGAAGCCCGTTTGTTTGTTTGGCCGGTCAATTCCAATGAAGCTTCAAGTGGGTGTGTCTGGGTTTGGTTGAAAGGGGCATTGAATCGAAGGGACACTCGCATGTTGTTTTTTCCCCCCGTTTTCAGAGTGTCACAGGGCAGATGCGAGCAGTCTGTCTCCAAAGTAGGAAGCTTCCTTGTCCAATTCCAACCTGCGAAGCCCCATGGAAACCAACCAGCGAAAAGATATCTCCCATCGCTAGGCTTGACTCTCAACATTTTGGCCGTTCTTTCAGATTTCCACCCGGTGTCAGGTTCTATGAATTTGGCCCGGACATGGCGAGTTGCGACAATCTCCCAAAACCATGGGCTAAGTTTGCCATGACGGTAGCTCATGTGCGATCCAGCGTCGTAGTCGGAGTAGTTCAGAGTAAAATCCATGTTGGGAGTAGTGTGCATGGAACTAGTTTAGACCCCAAAAAATCTCTGAAAACACAAGTGTTTACTTTGCTGATTAAATTCGAATGCCAAAGTGTGGCAGTTTCCATAGGGATCTGTTTGGGAGATGGAGGGGCGGGCAAAGCTCTCGCCTGACTTCGGGTGGGGTGGGGCCCGGGAGTGTATCTTTCTTGAGGTCACCCCAAAAAGGCGGATTTGATCAGTTCCTTAAGGAGAAAGGGGGCAGGTAGGGCTGAAACCCTGTGAAAAACCTTCCTGCAAGAGAAAGCAGCTATGCGTTTTGGGCATCCCAAAAACGCACCCCTTTATGTGCCCCTGCATTGCGTGGTGCCCGGGTGACATAACGCATGGGATGTTGTTTTTGCTCAACCGTCCGCAGGGAGTAAATTATCATCCAGGATGGAACAACCCAGAATTGTGAAACAAGGAATCTGTTTGTTGTTGGGCATTTTTGCTGTTGTGGTTTGAAGGAAATGAACAAACCCCTGGGGAAAAAAGGGAGGTTCCTAAAGGGAACAATGGGCGAGTCTTCGATTTTCCTTATGTTTGGTCTGTTTCTCTTCATATTATCTTCCTTGCTCTATAGATGAACGGCCTGGATTGTGTACATTATTTGGCCCGCCGCAGGCTACTTCTACCGCCCCGCGCTCAGGGCTGGGTCCTCTGGTTGTGGCGACCTTATCCTCCCCTCCCCCGGCAACTTGGGATTCGGCTGGCTTCTGAGACAGGGCTCCCTATATTTCTGTTTGTTTTTGTTTTCTCCCTTTTTTTTGCGGGGGGGGGGGGGGGGGTCCTTTTTTTTGGGAGGGGGGCGGGTTTAACCATCACCTTTTTGGCCCATGAAAGGTGAGTGTCCCTTTGTGGGGTTGATGTTGCTTTTGCTAGATCAGCCGCCAACTCGGACATTGAACGAACGGTCGAAAGAGGTCCACCTGGCCTTCTTTGGGGCACATTGCATGGATCAGGCGCAATGCAAGCATTTGCCTGAGGTGAGAACTGTTTTTTTCGCGCAGCCTTTGGCTTTCCTGAAGCAACTCAGTGCTTCAGGCGACTCTTCTCGCGCATCATGAGCCAGAGTGTGCCACTGTGCGGGGCCAAAACGGCGAACCGGAGACCAAAGGCGCGGAGCAAACTGATGAACTTGGTGACGAAAACCACGATGTGCAAGTTCTATCAGAGTGGTCGATGCGCCAAGGGCTCCAGCTGCACGTTTGCACATTCGGAGCAGGACCTCCAAGCTCCGCCGGATCTCTTCAAGACCTCCTTGTGCTCCAAGTTCATGCGGAAGGGTTTCTGCAAGAGCGGGGACGGTTGCAAGTATGCCCACGGATCCGCGGAGTTGCGACCGCCGGGCGCTGGCGAGGGCGATCCCGAGACCAAAAACTCGGATGCGGCCACCGACAGCTTCAGCGAGGTCTCTTCCCAGAATTAGCTCCCCTTGTTTTTTGTTTTTTGTTGTTTTGTTTTTTTTGCGGGGTCCCTTTGATTACATCAGCCAGGCAAACAAATATTTCTTCGCTGGGGTCCTAATTGCAGCCTAGGTCTATGGCCTGGATGCCTCGCCGGAGGAGTCCTCCAGCAGCTCCAACCGGGTCTTTTTCCCGGACGACTCGAGCGACGGCTCGGGCTCGGGCAGCGTGCGGGTCAGGAACACCTTCCTGGAATTCGCGGAAACGGAAGTCGTGGTGCGCCGCAGTAGCTCCGAGCCGGACCTGCAGATCTACCGCTGTTGATCAGCCGATGGAGGCGTTCGGAGTCGGAGTCTCGCTCGTTTTCAGCCGACAGTCTCGCTCGCTTTTGTCTTCCTCCTTGGGCATCAGTGGATAGCTGGGTTCGTCCATGGAGGTGAGCAGGAAACTTGTCGCATCCAATTCACTTGAAGCTGGCTCTATGAAAATTTGAAGCTCCAGCCTTTTCGTCGGAAACGAGCGCTTCCATGTTCCTTTTGGGTGGTGTAGGTCGTATCGATTTCCAGGTTCAAGCACAAGCTGTTTGATTTTTTGCGTGGCGCTTTCCTAGATTTTTTCTTCTGCACTATGCACATACTCTTTTGATTAGCCCTAGGCTAAGCAGCTGGGCAGGCGGGTATAGGACCAGAGGCGTTCTGCCGTGATGGACCCTTCGACTCGATTGAGCCGACTGAGTCGGCTGAGTCTTCGTGTCCAGTCCGAGAATTCGCCTGTATGTAGTTTGAGTCAACCATGTCATGGCCTTTGGGCCGGCACAGGCCGTACGTCAGATGCTTCAAATAGTAGTTGGATTTGGCGCGCCGTGATGGTGGGCGCCTGGGCGTCCTGAAGAAAAGAAAGGTGCTCAGCTCACGATTTTTCTTTTTTTGCGTGCCGGATGGCTTTCGGAGACCTGCTTACTCGGTGCATGGGGGTGATATACACTTGAAGATGGATTTGGACCAGTTCATACTTCAGGATTTCTGAGCCTGTTTTTTTGAAGGCCGCAGCTCAGGCTCAGTGACCTTGCGTAAGCAACGAAGGCTTTGGAGAAGACTTCCAGCTTGTATGTTGTTGCTAACAATGCTCATGAATTGAGATCAGGGATCTTTGGTGGGCATCATTTAAGTGAGGATTTGTGTCCACCAACAATTTTGGAGGTTGTTCCCTATTGAAATTCATGGCCAAATGATGGCAGACTTGTCTTCTTGCAAGGTAAGCGTGATGTGACAAAGGGGGGGGCTGTGCGTGGGGTAAGTGCATGATTTGTGGAAAGCTGGCCTTGGGTCTGATACCGGCTTACTTTTCAAGGTTTCTCCATCGGGATTTCCGTTGATTTCTTGCAAGGGGCTTACCTGTGCGTCAAGTACCAGCGTGCATTCAATGGCATGCTGGATGACGGCCTGCTTGGAGCGTCACGTGCGAAGGCTGCAGGGTCCCCAATAAATCATTATTCGCTTCAAAGTTCTCCTGTGCCTCCTCTTTGGAGAGCAACTCTTCGGGTCATGCTACTCAGCACTGGTTCCCCGTTGAGTAGGGAGTGACCCTCCAACTTACCTCTTAAAAACACAACATTTCAACTTTTTTGGGGTAACATGGGCTATATGTCTGTAAAAGATTAACTTCCCCAGGGCTTGGAGTTTTAAGGGGTAAGCCAACAAATCAACATGGAACCTGGCATTCGGGACCCGGTCCCTTAGGAAAATGGTCGAAACCAGGAGCCCCGAACGTCACGAACGTCAGGTTCCATGTTTTCGTTGGGAGGGTGTTGTTTGCTTGGCCTTCTGATCCGTCCTGTCCGCCAGAGCAATCCCTAGGTCCCAGTGCCCTTCTCTCCCAACTTTTTTGGTTGGGAGATTGGGTTCCCCTACTAAAATAGACCCAAAAATAAGAATAACAAACAAATCGGTACCAACTTATTCTAACCTCTCAAATCTGGAGGACCTTTGATCCGAAGTCCACCTTGAACCCGCAAAGCTCGCCGCTCGGCATTTGGCTGCTTGGCTTCATGTCCGGATGCCGGTTTACCTCCAAGGAGTCCATTTGGGCTGTCTTTTGTTGAGACCCTTTTTAAGGTTGGTTGAAAGGCACACCAGACCTGAAGCTTTGGGTCCAAGTCCAGCTGTTTGACACTCTTGAGACGAACATTCTTGCGTTCAAAACTCTAGGGTACCTTCCCCATTCTGTCCAGGGATCCTTCTTTCCAGAAAACCCCAGAATCCTAGGGGAAAAAGGAAGGTTATTGAAAAGAACGATGGTCGAAAAGCATGGAACAGGAGTCACCCGCAGGCTTTGAGAACTCGGTCCGTGGCTGCGTTGGTAGGCGCGCAGCGCCAATCGGTTCTCGCGTCAAAAAGGGAAGTAGGGACTCCGCTGGGGACTTTTCCGGATTTCTGGCGGGTGAAAAGGAGGGAATCATTTCAGAAATGCACTTGATAGCTTGCTCCAACCACGAGCATATCAATATGACACTTCTCCGATTTAATCCCTGAAGATGAGTAAGGCTAGAGCACCAGGAATCCAACCAGAGTAGATATAGCCTCGCCCCGTTTGTGCGGAGTCTTTAATTGTATTTGTATTTATTCTGGTTTCGGTTGTGATATTGAGAGCGGTAGCCACGTTTGTAGGTAGCCGTTTGGTTCGATTTGTGTGCATTAGCAGAATCTGTTTTTTCCCCAACAGGACACCTGGGAAGTAGGCCTTATTTGTGGCTGAGGGTTTGAAAGATTTGAACCCCTGATTCTTGCAGTGTTAACTACCCCTCAACCACCAAACCAGAGGTCTCCAAACCACCAAGAGGGAAGCTGAACCTAGGCCAACAACATGCAGGTCCTTTTGGGAAATGGGTTTGAAAGCAACTCACTGGTCAACGAAGTGGAAGGCGAAGAGAACGTACCACCGAAGGGGGAGGCATCAATGCAATTGAGGGGACGTCAAGCTGACTGTCGTGCGTTTTCTGCTAATAGCTAACGCCAGCTATGTATTCATGTGGGATCGGGGGATGTTTGTAAGATTTGGACCCTGCATCTAGCAAGGCTGGCACGCTCACCCGCTCACCTGGGCTTTGCAAAAAGCGTTTTGCTGCCTAGGGATTCGTCATGTTGGTCGCTTTTTTGGTCATTTGAGCCCTTGGAACTCAACTTGGCGGAGTGGTTTAAAAGAGAGCATTTCCAGGCCACATGTCACATGACCGTAACGCAGATTCTCACAGTAGGGTTCATGGCTCGGATTTTGGGGTTTGCTCCATGAGGCGTAGAAGCTTGAAGGGAAGGACTCCCACTCGACATGGAATGCAGCCTTGAGGAAACTTGGAGGCCAGGTTCCACGAGTGGCACATGCAATCTCCAGATTTTGCAGGCAGCCTGTCAGGTTGCTACTTTTGGACCTTCGAGCGCTGGTTTTTGGATCGAGCCACCATATCAACCAAGTTGTGTGGGTTCCATCCTTTCCCTTTTTTTTGTTGGTTCCCCTTTCAAAATAGCCTTTTGCCAAGAGTAAGTTGTTGCAACCGCGACTACTTTTCGTTGAAGAGAGCCTGTGTATGTGTGTATGTGTGTGTGTGTGTGTTCGGGAAGGTTGAAAAGCAACACATGTTTGCTGCATGGCAGCCACTCAAGACCTGACCAAGCGGGATCCCCTGTTGGGAGTCATTGAGCAGGGCTCCTTAAAAGATACATTTAGCCCATTTGAAACATGGCTTTTTCCACCAAAATAAAGGGAACCCACCATTTACAAGGCAATGTTCAGGTGTATAATGTAAGGATCCCTGTTGAGCACATGAATATTTGTCGGGGGATGCGTCCGAAGCTGCACGTTGTCTTTCAGCCAAGACGCTGCGGGGCATTCACAAGGTACTTGTTGTTGAAAGCGTTGCGTATGTACCCAGATTTGACTCTAGTGGTGCCCTTTTCCTAGCAAAACGGTGCCCCCTTTCTTGCAGTGGCCAGTGGAGTTAGGGTCTAGTGCAGCATTCAAGGATTCGGGGGCCTATTTGACAAGGGCAAGCTCTCAACTGGCCGGTGTCTAACTAAAGGAACCGGGATGGGTGATTTGACAGCAACTCACTCGAGTACACTTGTGGGGACCATTTTCGCGGGAAGCAGAAAGCTTAGCCTTCTTTATTTTTGCCAATCCACTCAGGAAGTCAGACAAGCAATGAGCAAAACGGAGTTGAAGTACATGCCAGTCAGGCGCTGTTGGTTGATTGCACGGACAGGCATAAATCCTCTGGGACCCAGTGGACGCATGCCGCAGCCTTGGCTGCACCGACGGAACTTGCTGGGAGGGCAACCACAAGGACACCAAGAACTGTTGGGCACCCTAGCCTTAGACACACCCGCATATCCCAGTCACATCTTTACTTGTGGGATCGCCGCTTGAAGCTTGTGAGTCTTGGAATTGGAGGCAGGGGCACACTCACCTGTGATCAACTCACTTGTCCAAAGCGAATCGACCTTTTGAATTTTTAGCTTCCCCTTTCTGGTCATTTTTTGTCATCTCCGCAAAAGGTTAACCTTTTGTGTTTGGGTCCTTTGGCCAACTGAGTCAAGGGCCCGCCCTCTCCCAGGCAAACACCATCTACACCTCCCGGGACGCCAAGGGCGACCCCCACTGCGCAGAAGCCTCGGGGGCTTGAAAGCGATGCCATACGCTCCGGTCAACATGGAATTCTTGTCACGGGGCTTAGGTTTGGGGGTTCTAGGTATATATATATACATATATATATATATCTTTGTAGTGTAAAACCTGGGGCAATGATAGCACACAGGGGGCAGGTTCGCCATCTCCAGGCTTTCTAGCGTTTCCTTCTCACTTCGCCTATTGGGCATGTTTTGTTTTGCCACGTGACAATTGCAAGTCCCAGTTCTTCCCTTTGCTTCGGTTTGCTTCGGGTGGTTTTGCACGTATTTTATGTCAAGCTGCGGGGAATGGTCAAAGTCAGGGGCACTCCTTTGGGTTCTCAAAATGGAATCCCGGAAAGACTCTCTTCAGCTTGGGCCGAATCTGTGGCTTTTTGGGGTTATCCTCAACCCTTCTGTGGATGGACAAACTCCCGCACCGCTGTGAAGCCACAGTTGACACCATTGTTTGGTGGTATGTGCAGGGAACGTGCAATTCCTTAGGTGGTGCGGGATTTCGTCCATCCACTGTCTTGGGGGGTGGTTGCAATGTTCCCAAGAAAACCTTAGCAGGGATGTGTCCTTGACATGAAGATAAAATAAGGAGCAACACACTTGACATCCAAATCGGTTAGTGCTGAAGATTGACCATTGAAACCGCAAACGCAGCGCCATAGCCCCTTGCTTTCTGTTGGACACGGTTTATTTTGGTCCTGAAGCTCAATTCATGATCCAAGTTACATATTCACATGCTGGTGTATGTACATCTATATAAGCAGGCAAAGCAACGCCTCATGGTCCAATTGCGGGTGGGGGTTGAGAGCATCACAACTAGGTCCCCTTTTTGACCCGTTTTTGGGGTTTTGGGTTCCCCTACTAAAATAGACTACAGAAGAAAAGGTACCAACCTATTCTATCCTCTCTACTGGACCTAGACAACTTCGCGGGTAAGAGCTGTGAAGAATCCGATACATGGCCTTCTGGACTCCCGGCAGTTTGGTCGAAACCTCCGCAGAAAACCTCCGGGCTGTGGGAAATGGAATGACCACGTCTGTGATACAACAATAAGGGTTTCCCAAAGACTAATGCACCCACCACGGCACAAGGGGGAGATTCCCTTGTATCACAGAAGTGGTTGGTAAAACCCCTTGATCCCACAACCCTGCTCCGGAGTGCCATGTGTGTCTCTAGTGGTTGGGTATGCTAACCTTCCATCTGGTCAAGAACATTGTTTTTTGCCCCCCCTGTTGGTTTTAAAGGGAATCTATCACTACTGGACATATTTCATCATGTTGTGCAGGGGACTTGAGCAAATGGAGGTAACTCCATGAATTTTGGTAAGCAACCACCTCCAAAGTGGTGGTTGGACATAAATCCCCACCTAAATGGTGTCCACCACAGGGCCCCTTATTTGAATTCACAGCCAACTAGTGTGTTACTCACCGGCCTGGCTCCATGTCTTCTCCTGTCGCCTCGATGCCAGGTGGGCTACAAGGAGGCGACGCTGAACCCTCGGCGTTCGGGTTCGGGAGGGTCCGGGCGGAGGTTCCGGGCCACTTTTTCAACTCAGTGGTTCAAAGCCGAGCTTTTGACCTTTGTGTTGTTTTTGTTTTTTTTTTTCCAGGTTTTAGTTACCTTTTTTTCTCTATGTTGGTTGATTTTTTGTCAAGGTCCCACAAATTAACCACCTTTTATATTCAGGTGCTTTGGGCAAGTGAGTCAAAACCCGGGTAGATGAAAGTTAGGAAGGGATAGTCCCAACCACAAAGAGGTGCAGCCGCCTCTCTAGTTCTTTACATAGTTTTGGGTAGACCATTTTGATACCAGGTTTTGATTGTGACTCAGGTTGGCTCTGAAGACGAGTGTGAGGTCCCTTGCCATAGGATCCCATCCGGGGGGTAGATCCCATAACTCTGCGCAGCTAAGCTCAGGGATTTGTTCCGTTTGGCTTTCCTCGCGCAAGTGAGTTGCTGTGAGTTGATCTTTCTGCTTTACCCCAATGGGCTTCAACTTGTTGTGACTCCAGTTCTTCGCGCATGCCCCTCCAAGCATCTCCAAGCAAAGTTTTGAGCGCGAAGCCTTCGAGTCAAGCAAGTGAACAAGGTCAAAGTTTCGCTGGGCGGACTTCTGGAGGCCTTGTCACAACGTGTTGGAGCCGAAAGACTTTGACTGGATCAAGCTTCAGTGGAATTCTGATAGACAAATCCCGCAGGTCTACACACGCACACACGAGCGCGCGCAGGCGCCACGTAGAACACGATGCCTACCGGATGCTTGCTACAATCCACTTCGCCCATTTTCAGGGATGTTGTTAAATCAGTTGTCTCAACCTATGGCGGGTTTCAATTGACTCCAGGCGTTCACCGGGATTTGGCCTCATTATTTACCATGATCAAAGTCACCCCCAAAGTGGTGGGTGAAAGGGAACCAACCACATGTTCTGACTTTGATAGCCCCCAGAAACAGCCAAAATAATGACCCTAGGAGATTGGGGCAACCGAGAGGCTGGAGAGCAGACCCGCTGGACCATCCAGAAGGCGGAGGCCTGCAACCAGGACGGCTTCCAGCACAGCCTGGGCGCCTATTCCTGCTGGTGTCTTGAAATTTTGTGTAGCTCAGTTGTTCAGTGGCGCCCTGTGTCCCGTTTTTTTTTTTTGGGGGGGGGGGGGGTGGCTGCCCCACTACAAATGGTCTTCCCCGAAAAGGGTTCCCTTTTTTTGTTTCTCCAGGGTCACTGAACAACTGAGGCAATACACCCTGGGATTACCCCCTGGGAAGTGACCCAAAATGATTCAAAACAACACGGTTTTATCCGGAAATGTGCCTAAATGGGGTATTGGGTGTATTCCCAGGGTGCAATACAAAAACCCTTAGATGGTGTTTTTGTGTCCGAAGCCTTTGAGAGGAAAGAGTTGTAGCAGCAGCTTCGGATGAAATCGAATGCTACTCAATTTCAAGAAGTCGCAATCCAGAATGTTCATGTTGCCTCCCTCGAAGTAGTCCGGCCCTTCCCCAAGTCAAAACATCAAAGAGATGTTAAAGCAGAGACTATTCATCCCTGCACCCCCCAGCAGCCAGGCACTGGTTTTCATTCGCGGGCTCATTGAGTTGCATCCTGTTGCTCATTGAAGTAGGTTGAAGCTATGCATTCCTGAAATCAACAACGAGGGACTCTGAAAGTGCACCTATGAAAACTTGAATAGCAAGGTGATGGCTCGAGGCGGTCACATGAGGTACGAGTGCCCACCCCTCCCCCAAACAAATGGAGATTTAAAGAAAGGCTTTAGGATCGAGCTCCAGCCAATTGCAATACAAATGGAAAAACAATTCCAACTACTAAATCAATTGAACCAACAAATCCCCCACTAAATCAAACCAATTGCAACTCACATGACATTTACAGGGCAATTCAAGTCCCAACAAATACTAAATGAAATCAATTGCAGCTCAAATCAATCCCAAAAGGATGATCCAGTAATATTAAATCAAATGCAAACACGCACCGAATTTCCTTTAGACATCCTCTTGGGATTCTGCCTCAAGCATTGCGCAACACAAAGGTAGTCTTCATGGAGTATTTCAACTTCCTTGTTTGGCTTTGTGGACCTGGGGGGGGTTATGATCCGCTGTATGCAATGGTTTTCTAGTTGCTGTATATGCCACTAAACTTGGAGGTACGCAGTTCAGTGGAAACCATCTGAAGAGGGTGCGGCAGGGGCCAGGGCAAGAAATGGAGATGAGTTTGGTTCCGGGCATCTCTGGATGTTTCTGCGGGGCGGGCCCAGAATCAACCCCATCACCATGCCCAAAACAAAAAAACACTTGCAAAATTGGCATTTCTGACCTTCGCTTGTTTTGAACCAATCCCTAAGCGATTGACCGTATGTGGCATCGAAGGATCAATCCGCAACAGTTGGACAGTCCAGAATCGAGCACAGCGGCTTGAGAAAAAAGCCAAGGCTTCGGCTTCCGCGCCATGTCGGATGACTTCCAGCCACCCCTTGCTCCGTGGGGACGCCAAGGGATAGCCAAGGGCTTGGCGCCAGGGACAGGCGGACAGGGGCATTTGACTCATTTTGACTCACGAGTCGAACTCCCTTTTCTACCAAGGTTAATGGGTAACTGTGGCGCAAGTGCTTGGACAGGAAAAAGAACAAGTCACCCTTGGTCAGTTGGACCCGTTTGAGATATGTTCTAGATGAAAGTGATTGGTGATGGTTTGTGTAGGTGGTCCGGAATCCGGAAGTGCCAAAGTCCTTCCAGCGATTTCCAACAAACTCTCCTTATGCCTGCATGACTATGCCAGTTTGGTCACATGCATCTCGCTCAGGTGCTGCTTGCTCGCAGCCGGGGGCCTGCGCATAGGGATTTCAGGGGTCGGTAAACTGTCCTATGTTTGAACATCATCTCTTGGGGCCATTTTAAGTGAGCTCCTTTGGAAGGATGTAAAGGACGCTGGGAGGAACTCTGTGCATCGACTACATCAATATGATCTCTTTAGGCAACCATGTTGAGTGGACCTTACCCCCCAAAAAAAAACAAAAAAAAAAAACAATCGGCCTGTCCAAGAAAGAGGTGCCTATGCTTTCCGCGGAAATCAACATGGAGGTCCGGGCCCTCTTGGAATGGACGCACTGTGGCCCCGGTCTCCCCGTATTGAAGCAGTTCTGGCCGCTCTGCTGACTTAGGCATCCGGAGTCAAAGGTATGGCTAGCTTGGTGGGAAAGAATTCCATGTTGGCCGAGTTCACAGTCGGAGATAAACCCGAAGTGACCATATCCGGTATTGCTTTCAAGTTGAGTTGCTTCAGAAGAGGCCATGAGAGGGATGATTAGTTTTGGCCAGGCCGGCTTGCTACCAAGCGTGTTGAGCTTGTCATCAGATCATGTAAGTCCATCCTCAGATTGTTTTGCTGCTGATGCTGTGACATGTTTACATGTTACTTGTCCAATGCAGGACATTGTGCTACTTTGCACTTGGTTGCGCTCTATGGCAGGGAGCCCCGTTAAGTACTCCATGCGAGCACAGCTTGGGTTGGTCATTGCACTTGGCTAACACAACCGCAGAAAATGATCCAGGTACCTTCAGGGTGCTGGGAGGGAGGGTACCCATCCCCTTTTACACACCCAAGGGCAACCATTTGTCCAAGTTGGGCTTGACAACTCCAGGTGGCTCCCAGCCATTTGGTTCCTTAGCTTTCTTTTGACCTTCTAGTGTTTCGTGGTTGGGTTTCCACTTAACAGGGGACCTGAGGAGTAATTATAGACTTAACTTATAGCTGGATGTCGGATTTGTCCGTGGCTCAAATGCACAGCCCAGGAATTCCGTTGCGGATTTCCCCGGCCTTTCACTTTAACATCCCCTTGCCTTTTGACCCGGGAAGATGCCCTCATTCGCATGAATCCAGAATTCCCGCAATGTCCAATCAGTTCGTTTCACTTATCGTAACATTCAGTTATATCACAGAATGGCGGACACATTGGCTTGAACTGGCGCATATGATTGAGCCTGTATCTTAGATATACAGGAGGGCATAAGTTAGGTAAGTGGGACCCTAAGTAGAACCTAAAGATAATTAGCTCCAGGTTAAGTTAGCCGTATTTTGGTCAGGGTCTGCTTGCCCGACTTAGCATAAGTTCAGCCAACAATTTAGAAATGACTTAGGTTCGACCTAGGACTCCTTGTTTTTCCACTCCGCGGCTGCGGAAACATCTGCACAAGGCTCGAAATTTACACAAGCGCGTAGCGTTGGCTCGCACGGCGGTGAGCATAAATTTTCGGCTCTACGTCATGGCCCAAGCAGCAGGCAACGCAATGGCTCGAAGCCCAGCAGATGGCAGGGCAAGAATCTGCCGGCCGCGCGGAGCACATTCAGGCTTTGGTCACGGTGGTGTCATCCACCCGGGTGGACATTCACATGTTGCTGCTTTTCGCTCCAGTCAACGCCCTATAGGCATGTAGGGCTTGCCCCGGTGCAAGGCGTGCGTCAAGAGGAGAGGGAAAGAGTGCAAGGAGGCGCCGATAAAAGGGCGCCCAAGCGCGGGTCCCTTCTGCTTTCGTCAGACAGGCAACAAGGCTGCGTCGCGCAGCGCTTCGTTGCAGGAGGCGATGGAAGCGTTCGCCTCGTACTGACTCAGCTGGTTTTCCTCGCGCAACAGCCTAGACCGCGAAGAGCCAGGCGCCACTGTAATTTGTTTGCAGTATAGATGTATAGCACGAGTTCCTGCAATCCAGCACATCGCGCTGGAAATCCGATGCGCGGCACAGCTGCGTGTCAAAAGGTGCTGCTGTCCTTCCTGCCTTGAACAGTTTGCCCTCTCGAAGGCCCCTTAAGAAAAAGCCCGGCCTCTCAAAACAGAAAAGCCACAAAAGAAGAAACGACTTAGGTCCTATTTACAACCTCAAACTAGCTTGCTCACAAGCAATTGAAGTTAGTAACTTATAAGTAGGGTAACTTGGTCACAAGTTGAGCAAACCTATCTAGTATAGTCCCTTTTGTTTCAACCAAACACGGGTCAAAAGGCAAAGCCTACCGCCTGCCGCGCCGCGGCATGGACTTGGCGAAGCTTTTTCTGGCCTCGCTGGCCTCGCTGGCTTCAGCAAGCCCCGAGAGCTGCCACTTGTAAGCCGAGCTGGAAGGTCAGAATTCACGAACCTCCTTTACCCACTTCCTGAGTCGGAAGTTAAGCTTCTTTGGGGCTGGACCATGTTAGCGGCAACTAAGAAGTTTGAGCTTCTTTCTTTTTGGCCCGTCAACTCAGGAAGGTTCCATGCTAATTGTCAGGAGGGCATTTGGTAGCGGATCTCTGGACTTTAACTGTTCGGGAAACAGTGGCTTTTTCAATTGGACCCACCAACCAAGACACAGTTCGGTTTTTGGCCATCCCATGTATGGGTCAACAGGAACCCTGATTCATGACCCCCTCCTTGACGTCAGGCAAAAGGCTGCCCAGTTCAAGAATGAACCCGGGTCATGTTTGGACCATGTGATGAGTTTATCCTCGAATTGTCTCCTCTTCACCGGGTTTGCGTGGTTCAGAGTTTTTAGACCTGGGTTTTTCGGGTTGTCATGGTTTAGGTTTTTTGCTGTTTGGGTTGTTTTCGGTTTAGGATTTGCAGGGTTTGGGGACCTTCTGGCGCTAGCATTCAATTGTAGGATCTACAAGCTTGGTTTTCGTCTTCCTTTTCCCGGTTTTTCTGGTAAAAGGCTTTTAGGGCGAAGTTGTTCTTGTGTTTGTTTGTTTTTTTGCCTGGTAGGGTCTAGGATGTCTGGGTGTGAATTCCTTGAGCTTCGGAGCACCCAAAGCGCATGAAGTAAACCACCGCCCACGGTGAGAGGTTCCAATAGGCTCGCTCGGACGGTCGAGCTAACTACATTCTTGGCCGTAAGGCTAATCTCCTACAAGTTGTGGACGTCAAGAAGCCAGATGTCTTACTCATTCCCAGACTTCGTGGAATTTCGAAACTTTGGCGGAAGACCAGTTTGGTGGCTTAGGAAAAACTTGTGTGAGCCTCATTGTGCCTTCAGCGCCGATTTGCCTTCGAGGTTTTTCGTTTCGCATAAGGCGATTGGGCCGGCTGCAACGGCCGGACCCTCCTGCAGCATCGCGTGGTTTTGGGAGAGACTCAGGGCAGGCTGTCCTACCGAGGCGTCCGAGGGGCTTTTGCTTTCCGGTGTTCGAAGCCTGATCTTGGCATTGACGTTTGTTATGTTAGCTTTGGAGCGTTATTTGTCAAATAACGATTGACACAAGAACACACATTTCTGCCCGAACTAAAAGCCACACCCCAAAGCCGAAGAAACACATTTGTTATGCTGTGGGTCGTTGTGTGTGGTCTTCATGGGTTGCTTCTGTTTGGCTGTGTGTGTCGTGCTGCGTTGTTTGTGTCAGTGTAGCTTTATTGTATTGTGTGGGATGCGATTTCGCTTCATTTGGTTGTGTGTTGTGCTATGTGTATTGGGTGGTGTGTTTTGCTGATTTAGTAGCTGGATTTGTCATTGGAGCTGTTTGTTTTGACTTCTTTTCTTTGCCTTGTACTGCGTTGTTTGTTGTTTGCAGTTGTTGTGTATTTGGCATTGCTTGTGCGAAAACGCGCGCGGTGCCCTGTTGTTGTCGGGGTGATGTCAGCTCATGATTTTCCTGATTAAAGACGCACATTTTGCATGCCGACTGCCAGCCAATACTACTTTTAAAGGCCCCCACAAGGTTTGGCAAACAGACCTCTGAATCATTTTCAGCAGTTCCCAGAATTCCCTGTAGTTACAGACGTCCCTTTCCGGCCCAAAATCCCACAACTACCAATAGCATAGTTTTCTGCATTTAAAATTACAAAGGCTATCGTCAACACTTTTGTCAACACCTTGGGCTGACTCCTTTCATGGTGTTCTGAAGGGTTGCCATTCCAGAAATGAAGAAAGCGCCTAGCCAGACACAGCACATTTTCTGATGTTTGTTTTAAAAGACAAGGTTTGACAAGCTCGTAAAGGGTACCTCCCCCCTTTATTGCTAGCTCTCCCCCCACAAAAAAAAAACAAAACGAACAAAAACACAATTGTTTCCTATTGCAGTCCTTTTGTTCAGATAGGGCTCCGTCTTGAGGTCGAGGGGGGGTTAAAATCATGTGCCTCCGTTAGCTTCTTGTGTGTCCATTTGTTTGATTTGTTGAGTTGGTTGTGTTGTGCGTTTGCTGGTGTATTGTTGTTCTTCCCTTCGTGTTCGCGACTTTATGTGTTTGTGATGATTGTGTTGGAGTGTGAAACAATGTGTTTTGTCGTGTCTCATGTTCGAGTTGTTGCTTGTCGGTTGTTTCTTTGCCTGTTCGTTTGATTCGCTGATTGTTTGTTTGTTTTTGTGTATTGTGTTTTCTGTTGTTTTGGTGTTTCCGTGTTGTGTAATGATGTGGTCGTTGCTTTGATTTGCTGTGTTGCGTGTGTGTGTGTGTGTGGTTCTGTCCCGTGTTGTTGGGTTTGCTGTTTTGTTGTGACTTATGTTTGTTGTTTTGTGTTGTGGCGTTGTACTGCGCTGGCCTTGTGCCAGCTTCTGCGCAACTTGCTTGTTGTTTGTGTGTGTGTGTTGCACTGGCCAGTGCCGTGGTGTTTGTTCTCGATGTTTATTGGTATGCATGTTCTGTTTTGTGGGTGTCTCGCGCGTTATTATGTTCTTCCCGGTTCTTCCGGTATTTGTGTGTTGTGTTTGTGTTGTTTCATGTTGTTGAATTTGCTCGTTGCTGTGTTATCTTACTTGCGTTTTGCGTGTTTGTTTTGTGTGGATGTGTTCATGTCTTTGTTTTGTTGCTTTGTTGTACTTGTCGTCGTTGGTTTTGTTTTGTTGCTGCGTGTGCTTTGATGCTGCGGTGTTGTGTGTTACCTTGCGTTTAATGCAACGCGATTGTTTTATTGCCCCCCCCCTTTCCGCCGTCCGTTAACATCATCCTCGCTGTCACTGGGTCATCTTCTACATCCTCAGGTTCCATCAGGTGAGCAGCGACCAAGACATCCATGAAGAAACCCAGCTAGTCTTGGGGGCACCAGAATGGATTCTGCGCAAACGGGAGCTCGTGGAAGCGGAGCATCTCGCAAGTGTTGCCGCGGAACCCCCCATGGTCGCCGCAAAGTAGCGGAAGGTTGCGCGGCTTGCAGCCCCATGGCACATGGTCCTTTTGATGAACACCCCCTATTAATAAACCCCTGTATATTAATATGGGGGTGTCCCTGGTTTTAGTGGGGAGTTCACTTTTGGAGGGAACACCGCCTATTAAGAATCGGGGGTTGTTTAATAGGGGTCAACATTACTTTTGGAGGCTTCAAACACTTCTTGCTTGGGACTCCAAAGTGGCAGAGGGTCCTACTCGGAGACTTGCTAGAAGCTGCTAGATTTGCTTCGGACAGACTCTGAACAGAAAGGATCCATGCCCTCTCAACATCAGAATGCTTCAGGCTTCAGGCATGCACTTTGGAGGATCTAAGGGTTTTCGCTGCCTCAAAAACTGTTGATAGCACACTGGGTTCTAAGCGTCCCATATTATATGAAGTTGCCCTTGAGGCCAGGAGATGGATGTTTTTTGTTTAACCAAAACTACCAAGCACCTTGTTTGACCCGTGCTGTTCCGCGTACGAAACGAAAGCCGGCGTCAGGTGAGTTCCACGATGTGTTCAAGGACGGGTTGCAACATATGGCTTATGGGTCAAAGCCCCCGTACCCCCAGTGAACATCCCAATCCCCACTAAAATAGACTAAAATGGGTGGTGCACCTACCCCAAAATGGTAACATTGGTGTCGACCCACGGCCATATGTTTACCCTGATTTGCTCCACTTCGCGACAAGAGCTTCAAGAGCTTGGTTTCCAAGGCCCGAAAGAGGAGGTCCAGATGGCCAACACCACCACACCCCTTCAACCCCTGCAACAAGAAAAGCCAACAAGAAAAGACCAGAAGAAGAAAACAGGTGTCCAAGGAACCCGAGTTCCAAGGAGCCCTGAATGCCCGTTTAAAAAACGGGGGATGCCATCACTAGAGTCTCCATGACCCTTTAAAATGGGTCCATGCCCAATTATTTAGGGTAATGACCCCATTTTTCAACGGGTCATGGAGACTCTAGGTACCATTTTTTTCATTTTGGAGTCGCAGGACCGTCCTGCGATTGAAGCGCTGCAGTCCGCGAAGTGCCGCAACTACTTCGGCCCGGGACAGCGCGGCAGCATGCGCCTTGGAGCCGGATTTTTAGTTGGGGCAGTCAGGGGTCCCCTACTTTGGTGCATTTTGCTTGGATGCTAGGACTTTAGCATTTTGCCAACTAATGGGTGTTCCATTAAACCACTAAAAGTTAAACTTTTAGCAGGGGGGCAGAAAGCAACCGAGCCTAGATGCGATGTTTTGGGTGGGACTGGGTGTCCCTTAAAAAGCCATGCATATGATGTCCTTTGGTTGTTTCTTCTTTGTGGCTTTTTGGGGGTCCCTAGGTGTCCCGATTTTCTTTTAGGGGCCGGGTGTCTCTGGAAAAGCCATAGACTTCCTGTTGTTGTTTCTTCCTTTGTTGGTTTTTCTCTCAAAAAAAATATGTTGCTACAGTTTCCTTGGGCTCTTGGCACCCCGGCTGTGAGTCTCTGGTGGACAGCTTTCCGGTGGTGCGGCAGAGAGAGAGAGAGAGAGAATCCCCTGTTGCTGGTTTTAACCATCGCCCTTTTGGTCAATGCTGAGTTTGCCGAGGCGTGACTCTTGAAGGAAATCCTGACAATTTGGTTTGTGTTTCATATACCTTTCAGGAGGTTTGATCCCGCAAATGGCATAGAACAATACGAATCGGCGTTTGGATTCAGCCGTTGCCGCGAGTCTTCTAGGGCGGTTAAGGGCATTCTGGCCAGGACTTTTGGCCTTCACCCCTGGAACTCCCTGTCCCTCTCTTTCGTCAATGCATCATTGCCCGGACTGTTGTTTGACTTGTTGATCCAGTCTTTGGGAAGCCGCAGCCCTGGTTTCCTCCATGTTCCTAAAACCAGCGAGAGTTTAGCTGGATCCGATCTAGCCAAGCTTCATCAGGCTGAATCCCTGACATGCGCATAGACTTTTCCAATCGTTTTCTCTGTCCCGGATTGGCTAGGTCCCCCAGCTGTTTTGGGGGAGGATTCCCCTACTAAAATAGACTACAGACAAAAATCGGGTGCCCTTATTCTAAGCTCTCAAATTTGGAGGACCTAGTTGGGGTCTCGGCCAGGATCTACGACGTGGAGACCATGATGCTGAGGCCTCAGGCGGAGCTGAAGAATCAGAGCGGCAGCAGCTGCCCAGCACGAGCAAGCCTCGGGCCGCGGGGCGTCTCTTTTTTTTTGTTTGGTTCTTGCTGCTATTCCTCAGCTTCCGTGGTTGAAGGGAGGGTAAAACGAGCAAGCCTCGGGGCTTCTTCCTTTTTTTGCCCTGGCTGCTATTTGTCAGCTTCCGTGATTTTGATGGGAGGGTAACACTTAGTTGGTGATTTGAAGTGGTGATCTGAACCACTGGTGGAGCTGGGTCGAATCGTTACGGTTTAACTTTGAACAGTTGAACTGTTTGGGCGGATGATGATGGTGTGTTCTCAAAATTACTTTAAGAGCTAACCTTTAAACCACCATTAGAGGGTAATTTTGAGGATGTCACGCAAAGGAACCAGTGCCGAGGCCGTTTAGTGGCACCTTCGTTCCCGTTTTCTGCGTTATATTTTTTTCTGAAAGTTGTCAAACCCAAATGGGTTACCATGTCTTTCACTAGGGTCACTGGGCTGGGAGTGCCGAACGGCCTTTGGTTTTACAAACCAAACAGCCTATCGTTTCGTGGCTGTTTCCAGCACCAGCACCTGCACAAATCCCGGGTGTTTCCCCTCCCCCTCCCCCCAAAAAAAATTCTCAGGTGGTATCCCCAACAGCTAGGCGCGAGTGCCCCCCAAGCCTTATCTGGGCTGAGACCCCTTAGCTTTCAGTCTGCCGGCTTTTGATGGGAACTCCGTGAGCACCGGGAAACCCGGCGAACCAAACCAATTCCAGATCCCCCCAGCTAGGTGCCCTTTTACCGTGTCTTTGTTTGGGGCTTCGGGTTCCCCTACTAAAATAGACTACCGCCAAAAAGAAAAAAGAAGAAGAGGTTGGTACCAACCTCTTCTAACCTCTCAAATCCGGAAAGCCGAGGCTTGAGCTACAGCCCCCCCCGGCGTTTGATGACCTTCGAGGATCAAATACCGCAGGACCAGATCGGCGAGGACCGGAAAAAGCTGGGGCCCCGGCCCCCGGAAGTTCACCTAGGTGTCCCAGCTGGTTGCCCTTTCTCACCCCTTTCTTTTTTGGGGGAGGGTTGCCCTACCAAAATAGACCACAGAAAAAAGGGTACCATTATTCTAACCTCTCTACTGGAGGAATGGGTCGAAACTGAACCAGGAATTGGACCGCAGATTTTATGTGTCCATTTACCAGGGCAAGCCATTTTGGGCACCTATTTTTGACCCACAGCCAAATGTTAAAATTCGAGGTATATGAAGCCAATTTCGAGGTATCTAGGCTTCACCTTCAAAAGGGGCTGGGTTTTTGCCAACAGCTGCTGCTGGAATTAGATTCACTTACCCTGAATTTAACTTACAATCTGTTGGATTTTTTGTCGGCCAGCCATACCCCAAATGCAACACTCCTTTATGACCCTTAGATGGGCTTGGGGTTTTATGGGGAAGCCACTGGGGAACCCTTACCATTTTGACCAAAGAGTTAGGTGCAGTCCTCTCAAAGCCAAATCTCAGGCTGCTGAACCGGAAGGATCAGCGGCAAATTTGGGGTCGAGCACAGAGACGCTTCACTGTTCTTGGATCATGTTTTTCGTTTTTTGTTTTTTTTTTTTTTTTGGTTCTGTTCATTTTTACTGGGGGTCTGCAAAAAACAAAGTTTTTAGCTACCATACCAAGAGTAGAGATGAAAAGCTTGAATCAAAGCCTTCGATCTTTCATCGTTTTGTCCTCACACGCCTCCCCGGGTGTGAGGAAGCCAGCTACGTAGCCCTGCCAAGGAGTTGATGGAGATCCTCGGAGTTTTCAGAGCCACCGCGTTGCTTTTGGCCAGGTGAAAAAGGTGAGGAGAGAAAGCGATCCAGGACCCAGTTGCCCAGTGGTGGAAAAGGAAGGGTTCCCAAACAAACTCAACCCACAAAAAAAATGGATGCCGATTCTATGCCGATTCTATGCCCAGTGTCCTCCCAGATGCCAAATCAAGCAACCATGGTTCCCCGAACCAAAATAAACCAACCCAAAAAGCTTCAGCATGCATTTTTTCCCATGTCCACTGGTCATCTGAGATGATAATATTTTTTTGGGCTCTGCTGATCCTTTTCTCAGTTGTTCAGTGGCACCCTTTTTCCCTTTTGTTTGTGGCTGCCCCACTAAAAATGGTCTTCCCCAAAAAGGGTTCCCGTTTTTTCCCAGGGTCGCTGAACAACTGAGCTGCTAATGAGTTACGGATCTTTAGACTTTAACGGTTTGGTCGAAATCAAGTTGGGTTTTCCACTGCACCCACAAAAAGTGATTCACTTTTTGGCAGAGGGATCAACAGCAACCAAGAAAGTTGGACAGAGAAATCCCCTGGGCATCCGAGAGGACACGTCTTTGAACCACTCCTCCGGGTGGTGTATGCCGCTGGCTGTGCGCACGGCCGCGCGGCCCATCAAGGTGAGCCTCGCGACGCTGCAGAACCGAAGCTTCACGGGAAACCACAGCCAAGCCATGCCTAAAGCCGAGTCCAAAACCATGTGTTTTTTCTTCTTTTTTTGTTTTTTTGTTTTTTCTTTTGTTTCTTCTTTGTGTGTGTGCTAGTACAAGATGTATTTTTGTTAGTGTGTTTTAAAATCCTAAAATACTGTTGTTTTTTGAATTATGTTTTGATAAACACCCGTTGGTATGTACCTTGCTTGCAAACGACGTCTTGTACCACTCGCCACCAGACAGTTTCTCGCTTTCACCAGGCAAATGCAGCCACCGAGGTGCAGGGTAAAAGTAGGCAGAAACCTTGGTGTTGTCATCTCCTTGACTTCTCCGGGGAGTTGGTGCGGTTCTGTTTTGAAAGCCTGCAGCGCAGCCCTTTTTTTGGAACTTGTCGAACCACGTGAGTCGAACATAGGGGTCCTTTAGGTTAGTTTTGTTCAACATAGATGGGTTCCATTTAGATGGGATTTGGTCCATTTCCCAGGGCCATCTATTTTGCCAAAAGGCCACCTATCCCAGGGAGTCCAAAGGCCTGAGTTACGGAGGCCGTTTAAACACGGAGGTTTTTTACGGCCTTTTTACGGGGTGTTTACGGCCGTTGACAAAAGGCCTAAGTTACTCAGGCCGAGGAAGCTTTGGGTATGGAGTAGAACCCAAATAGAGTGAATCATCGGCCGATGCTCACCTGGCCCCGCAAGGAGTCGACTCTGAACTCGCGATCCACGTTTTGGAGTTCGAGGGTCGTGTTTTTTCGGTTTTCGGCGTGCAGAGGCGGAGTCGTTTCAGACGTGTTGATTCTGGAGCCCGAAGTCCTTGGACTTGGGTCACTTAGTGAGGGGCGAGAAAAGCAGTTGAGGTTATTGACTTATTTTGCTTGCTCAGGTGAATTCCAGTTGTTTCGTTTTGTTGAGTATCGGGGGGGGGGCCTTTGTGGGGCCGGTTTAGTACTATGAAACGTTATCAATCCAGGCTGGACATTACTGCTTCAAATGGGTTTGCCGCGACCCTCCCTTTCAAGCAGGCAAGGTTTTCCCCCCATTCGATTCAGCAGCAATCGCCCTTACTTTTTCTAGGTCCCCCAGTTCCTTCTCTCCCCGTTTTTGGTTGGGAGGGATCCCCTACCAAAACAGACAAAAACGAAACACATGGTTTTGGTTGGGAGGGTCAGGGTTCCCCTACTAACATAGACCAAAAAGAAACACACATCGGGTACCAGCTTATTCCAACCTCTCAAATCTGGAGGACCTCTCGCAGGGCTTGGCTCGCTCCGTGCCCAGGAACTTTGATGATGGGGGCAGTGTGGAAGTGCGCCTCCACCAGCGCCCCGGGTGAATCTTTCTTTTTTGCCCATGCCGAGCCTTTGTTTTATATAAGTATTTTATTTTGCCCATTTCGAGCATTTTTTTTATATAAATATGATAAACTACATAGAACACGTTCTTTCCTTCCTTTTTGCGGGGGTCCCGCATTTCAGGCTCTGACTTCGGTGGAAGTTGCGGGTACCTGCCTGTTGAGTCGACAGGCACTTTCGCAAGCATGTTGGCAGGTTTCTTCAGTATCCTAGTCAGGGCCGTGTCTCAACGGCTGGTGACATCTTACGTTTTGACGCGCAAGGCTGAAACAAAGGACATGTTCAAATCCTCTGGGTGAATTATAACGACCTCACACGATCACCCCAAATGGTGGTTTGTGTAGGGAATAGCCCCCCAACCACCTTATTGCAGGCTGGTGAAATATCATAATTCACCCTAGACCCAGGACCACTCGGGTCATTCAATGAGCGGGATGCGCGTAGAATCGTAGAACTAGGCATCGGCCGCGGACCCCAAGATGAGACCGGACGCCTTGCAATGAGAATCCTCTTTGGGAAACTGCTGAGTTGTGCTGATTTGCCGTTTGTTAGCTGGGTGGTAAGCAATGAGGCAATGGGCTCTCCCATGTGCAGGACCCCTTTTTAAACATGGATTTACCAGCGCCCTGTTTCGACTCAGTCACACATCGCATGCATGTCCCTCGGTCTTTAAGATGGGATGGCAGCAGCTCATTTACACCTGCCAGTAAATCTCAAGTTTGTTTTTGGGAAATCGGGTCACCACCACAAACTTCCCCCAACTGCCCCTTGAACAAAGTTTCAGAACCAGCTGCCTTGCTTTACTCGGGCTGCTTCAGGTTCGGGCTTTGTTTGTAGCATTCGGAGAAGCATTGCTTAAGCTGTAGAATGAAGCTGACCCATGCCCGATGTGGTTCCTTCAAGGGAGGTTCATTCCAATGCGCCCCGCCCCCCCCCCCCCCCCCGCCGCCCCAACAAAACCAAACAATATGCAATGATATGCAATGTATATTATTTGGGCCCGAGTTCCGGTTGGTGATCGTTTATCCTCTTCGGTCCTTTTCGGCACTCGTCCGGAACTTGTGTTGTTGGTTGTGAAAGGCTCCCTACGACTGGAGTTGGGGACGGGGCGAATCACTGTTTTAGAGTTGGTGTCAATGTGGCTGTTCTAGTATTCCCGCGCCTGAATTCGCTGGGAATGTTGGAGAACTGTTTGACAATGTTTAACCAACAAACATCGGAGAAAGCTTTTGTTATTACACAGAAGGGGTTACTATGGATTACTGCCCCGTGCCCAAACTGGAGATGCAACAAACACATTCCAAAATGTATGGTATAGATGAAAGTCAGAAGATGCGTGCACAGGGGGCAATATGTTTGTTCAGGTTCAGGTGCTAAAAATCAGGCATTTTGATGGCTTGGACACGGAGGGTCAGAATTGAATTGCGGAACCTCACTTCTGCAAGATTTCATGCAGGGGCTGCTTGCACCGAGTGGTGCCTATAGAATCAGCCACCAAAATTTTGTCCTGTTTCCACATCTCAGAGGCGACTTGCCAGCAAGTTCACTGGCCTAGTCAACACTCAGTTCCTCACAAGGCCCTGAGTGCAGCATGGAGGTCTGATCGCGACCTTGCCCGAAGAAAGTGCGGCGCGCCTTTCTTGGGGTCTCGGCAGGTTGGAGACTTGCAACTCAATCAGAGGAAAGTAAACATTTGTCCAGCTAATCTTGAAAAGCCCATGAGCGCCGGCTGAATTCCGCTGGCCCCATTCCGTGAATTCCACCCTCTAAAGTCCTTTTAGTCGCGCCACAGAAGCTCGACCAAAGAGGGTTGTATTTGTTGCCTGTGTCTAATCCGGGGCCCCAAAGTGGTGGTCCTGTTGGCTTTCCTGTAGACCAAAACCATCCAACAAAACAAGACACACCTAAGCGAGTGAATGGGGGCCAGGATTGAGGATTGAAACTGCAACTTGAGATTTCGAACTTTGGGGTTGGCTCAAGGAAAAAAAAAAAGAGAGGATTCAAGGGTGGGTCAGAGCTCAGCTGTGAACCCAGTGGCCCCGATCAGAGTTTGAGCCTAACCTGGATCCGGCCAGGTCTTTTTGCCACCTTTGCTGGAAAAATGATCGACCCCCCTTGTAGTGAAGGATTCCTTTTTGAAGGGGTCGCCCATTTTCTCACAAAGGGTGGCAAAAAGAACCCCCCCTGGATCCGGCCTCGGGCTTCCGAGGCATGCGCGCCATGCTGCAGTCCCTGGACGGCGTGGAGTTCCTCGACGCCCACGGCGAGTCGAAGGACTTCTGCGCGGAGCAGAACTTCAGCTGGCCCGCCTGCGCCTGGGACGAGGGAGAAAAAAAAACACCCGGCTTCATATGGCCATGGTTCACAAACCAGTGGAACTTTTTTGAGACAGGTGCACCACCCATTTTAGAACCTATTTTAGTGGGGATTGGGATGTCACTGGGGGTATGGGGTTTTGACGCATGGCCAGATGAGCCACTTGCTCAAAACCGATTCGGGTAGATGAAGGTCAGTAGTCCCAACCAAAAAATGGGTGCGGCTATCCGCCTTCTTATTTCTGGAAGCATGGTTCTGGGTCGACCATTTTAATACCGGGTTTTGATTGTGACTCACATGGGGGTTGATCAAAAGGTCTGTGATACATGGGATGGCCATTGGAGAAAAAAACACAACAAAGGGCTGATATTTCCCACTAAATGGCAAGAGTTACCCATGGTCATTTGGGTGGCCAGGCATATGGATCAACCCCCATACCAGCCCTATAAACCATCCAACTCGTGGTTTCCTTCAAGGGGATTTTCAGGTTCATTCCATTTCTCATTCCCTGCGTATTGCACCAGCAAGGAGAGTAGTACTCCCGCTGCTTCATATGAGCCAACCCATTCCTCACTTCCTGAGTTGCTGGACTTTAATCATTTTTGGGGAAGGCCATTTTCGTGGGAAATAACAAGCTCAGACTGTTTCAGTGACAAATGAAACCACTAGGGCAGGCCTATGATTGATCCACAGCCATGGTCAACCCATTCTAGGTCCCCGGTAGTGCCCTTCTCTCCCCTTTTTGGTTGGGAGGGTTCCCCTACTAAAATAGGCTACAGAAAAATCGGGTACCCTTATTCTAACCTCCTTACGGGAGGACCTAGCATTCCAGGAAGCTTTTCTGGACCTTTCTACCTTGGTCTCAATTCCAAGGGCGCGCCCATCCATCCCGAAGCAGCTTTCTAATGGGTTGATGGCTTCACAGAAATCCATTCGCGATTATAAGCCATGGGAATGAAGCCAGGTTGGCTTTTGCAGAATCGAATCATCCCGTGTCTGTGCAGGATGCGCATCATTCCAAAGCTGCTCATTCGGGGTGGATGGTTATGTCGGTAGTGTCGACTGGGCCCCAAGTAGCCAACCGCGAAACATGCGCTGAGGATTCAAGTTGGACCCCTTCAAAGAAAAACAAAAACCTGAAAAAGCTCCAAAACTGTATTTGCTCGGTTCCCCAAAACTGTATTTGCTCGGTTCCCCAACACTCCATTCGGATGGACCTGGAACCATTCGGTTGGCCTCGTCTCCAAATCTGGCACAACTGGCGGTTTGGTGGCGGTTTGGCGGCGGTTTTGGAGTTTGATCCCAGCAGAGGCATGTGGGTGTGGCTCACAATTACGCCAACCGCAGGTTTTAGTCTTTGGTTCCATCTACCAAGCTGGGTGCCATTTGGGTAGATTTTAATGTCTAGGTCCACCAGTAGTTCCCGTGTACCGCTTTTGGGGGTTTTGGGCTCCACTACTAAAATACACGGACAAAAACATCGGGTACCAACTTATTCTAGCCTCTCAAATCTGGAGAGCTCACGGCCATCGATCGAGGTGAGAAGACCTCCAGCTTTCTGTCAGCTGCAGTGCAGGCCACCTGGAAGGCTCGAATTCTCGATCTCTTTCGCCGCTTTTGATGGCACCCAAGGCACCCGCTTTTGGCTACTGGCGGGTTTTTGGCCGGAGTTCACTTTGGCCTTGGGCGGTTTCTGGCGCAAGTTGTGTTGTACGGTTTTGTGGTGAAGTGGTTTTAAGTGGTGTGTAGCATCACAACGTCGTCCAACTGACAAACCAGTGGGGGGGCACCCTTAGTTCGGGGAGGGTGTTGCAGGCTTCGTGCTAGCGAGAGGTTTACTCTAGGTTGCTCTTCGAACATCCTTCCACGGTTCCCGATTCTTTCAGCGCTCCTTGATTCGTGGCAGGGTGTCACTTCCCCTTGTGGTAGCTAACGTCACTTTTTGAAAGCTGCTAGGGGCTCAAGTCCTGCGCTGTTTGGGCTGTGTGTTTGGTTGAACCCCTGGGTTCTTGTCTGGGAAACCACTCCCGAACCATCAAACCACCGGGCTCCAAACCACCAATCAGAGGGGGACGCTGTGGACCTACTATGTCGATGTTCCTGGTTTCTTTGGGCTCGACTGGTTTCACGCCTTGCTGCCATCTTGGACGCATCCAAAGTTTGCGGGGCAGAATGTGGATGAAGAGGACTTGTCTGGCGCGGTTGCTGGTGCAAAGGCAGCGTTGGCACTTCAGGCAAGCGGCGCCAGCTTGGTGTCCGTCCTCTCTGAAGGACACTGAGTTTCCTTTGGGTGGGGTCATGTTTTGTGATGTTTAGAGGGAAAATATGGGGAACCGCGTGGGGGTGCTGGAACGTTTCACCCCCAAACTTAAGTTGTTAAGCCAGGTGGCCACCATCCGGGACCCTTTCGAGCGTTTCATGGCCTCCGTGAACGAGCACGGCAAGTGGTCTTCCTGCGACGGCGAGGTGTGCCAGGATGAAATCGAAAAAGCCAAGGAGAGCTGCGACCTTCATACACATGATGCTGGTGTTGTCAAAGGACGTACACCTGGGTGAAAGAAGATGGCATGTTTTTTTTTGTGCAAGCCATCCAAGATGACGTGCCTTTTTATTACAGGCAGATGTGCCATCTAGGTTCACCCTGATGTAGCTCTCGCTTGTTTGATTATTGTGGTTGTGGGTCCGGGTGTGGCTCAATTGTTTGGGAACCCAACAAATGGTTGGTTTCATGTTGGCTTCCCCATAAGGTACACCCAAAACAGGACGCATCCTTGCTTGCGCCATGCCGTGGAATGGCCACACGTTTCGGGTGTCTATGCGCTGCAGGGAACACACTTGAAACTGTGTGTGCAAGGGTTGGGGTTGGGCAACATTTGATTAAACAACCAGGCCCTGCCCCGTCTTCAAAGCCCAAAGGAGTTGGTTTAAGCAAAACATGTCCACCAAGCCCCCCCCCCGAACAAAGGGGGGTACCTAGAATAACTTCTTGAGGTCCAGTTCAATCGAGTTCCCGTTTGATTCAGTACTTGGTAGACTTGAGAATTGAGTTTCCGGTTGATTTAGGTGGAGACTCCTTTCTCCTTTGGTTTTATTTTTTTGGGAGGGGGTCAGGCAGCAAAACTTGATTCCAGGGCTCCTGAAATAACGGCAAATTGGGGAGGGGCCTGAAGTGCTACCCCTTTGCCGGTTTGATTGTGAGCAGGTTTTCAGCATGAGGCATGTAAGAAATCATGGGTTTGGGACAACTGACCATTTTGGATTTGAGGAGCAGGCTCAAACCAAACAACAAACCGAAGCATCGCTGACCTGGGCTGTCTAAAAACCTAACTAGCCAAGAGACAAAAACACCAGGCAGGTTGTATTTTGCCGAAAGGGCACACTCAAATTGGGGGCCTGAAGTGCTACCCCCCTTTGCGGTGTTGATTGCGGACAGTTTTTAAACAAGATACATGTAAGCAAACGAGAGACTTCTGGGCAAGCTGACCATTTTGGATTTTTGGGAGCTGAAGAACAAGGTACCAACGATCTAAGAACCAGGTGTTGGCCTGGCTCCCCTCCTTTCTCTCCCCTCCTTTCTATCCTCTCCTTTCTCCTCTCCTTTCTCTCCTTCTTTTTCTACGGTGTTTATATGTGGTTATGTTTCGTTTTTCTTCTTCTTTTTTTCGAGAAAAACTAGGGCGGCGGTGGCGGGTGCTTGTCTTCAGGTGCAGCTACTGTTTGTTTTGGGCCACCCGTTGGTCTTTATTCTGGGCGCAATGTTTACTCCTAGGTGGACATTAGCAATAATAGAGTCTGTTAAGCATCTTGAGCAAAACTAATAGAGTATGTTAAGCATCTTGAGCAAAACGGGGATTGGATCAACCATGTTCGGAAACCTCAGCTCGATAGAACCCGCGGAAAGAATACCCTCCCCCCATCCCCGAATCAATGTATGGGGAGGGTGTTCGCATCAAAGGAGGCGGATGCGCTTTTCCCCTAGATGTGTGCCTCCCAAAACGAGACTTCTCTACAGTTGCGGGGGTTGACTACATGTTAACTTGCAGCGGAGCAGCCAGAGCCTCAACGCATCCAGTTGGACCATCATTTCAGCGGTAAACAAACAGCTCGGACTGTTGGCCAATCCATTCGGGACCTGCGACTTGCGACGTAATCAGCAACACCTCACTTTCATGGACCCACTCCAACGGGCGGGTTTTAAAAATATCAGAGTTGTTGTTTCTGCAACACGTGCTTTTTTTGCTGGTCTCAAAAACAAACTCCAGCTTCAAATGCGGAACCCCCCTGGTTTCTGTTCAGTCCAGGACCTGGCCCGCACACTGGCCACTCAGTTCCCAGGTGCCAGCCCTAGACGAGCATTTTGGGGCTGGTGGATTGGACCATCCCCACGAAGTGTCGCAGCTAGTTGCCCTTTCTCACCCCTTTTTTGGTTGGGGAGGGTTCGCCTACTAAAATAGACTACAGAGAAAAGTTGGTACCCTTATTCTAACCTCTCTACTGGAGGACCTAAGAGAGAGAGAGAGAGAGAGAGAGAGAGAGAGAGAGAGAGAGAGCCTACGCCCATACCACAGCTCATGTTTTGGTGGGGGGGGGTATCAAGCCAACGTGGCAGATCTGCTTCGCATTCACCAAGGGCAGATCCTCAGTGGATTCCACCCTCCAACTGGATTGTTTCGTGTCCTCTCTGAAAGCGGTCTTCGGAGGGTTTCCTTCGGGGTTGTACCGAGCAAGACCCCCGTGTTGTTTCCCATGGTTAAATCGGTGTGGGGTAGGGAGAGCCCGCAGCCTTTGGAACGTTGGTGGGTACCCTGAAAAAGGCGGCTTGGATTGACGGGATTTGAAGCGCTGGTTTTGGTAGAGGGAAGTTGGTTGAAAACACCCAAGGAACGCCTCCAAACCACTAACCCAAGTGAAGCAGACCAGCTGAGCTTCTTTAAGCCACCGAACACGTCACGTTATGTTGCAGTTTTCAGGGTCGCTAGATAAAACCTACCTGGCGCACTTGGCGGATTTTGGGTTTGTTCATGCATCCCAGGTGCCCGATGATCGCTTCAATGGTACCTTCACTTTTTCTGAGGATGTTCTCGCATGCTTTGTCCCGTTTGGTTCAAATGCGGCTTGGCTCGGGAGTCGGGAGTCGGGAGAAGAGGGAGTATGGACTCCGAGGCACTTACAGGAGTTGCGAGCACCCCACGATGTCCTACTTCCTCTCAGCAACAGACCTCAACGGAAATCCTGTGGTGTGGGATATGCTCCTGGAGGCCAGTCGGTGAGTCCAAATTTGGGTTTCACTACACAAGGGACCAGGGAAAATGGTCACGGATGGTTTCGGTTGTCTACCCCAGTCAAATATTTTTATTCGCCAGTCCTTCAGTTCACTGGATTGCGCCCGTGAGTTCTTGGATTTCTTCCAGATGCCTTTGTGCGTTCCGCCTGGGTGGATTCGCCTCGAACAGCTCCCAAGTTGCTTCCTGCTTCTCCGTTCGTTGCCGGTTGCAACTGAAGCTGCCCGGATCTGCCCTATGGAGAGCGAGTGCTGGGGGGCCCAAGAGATTCAAGATCCCGAAGGCCTAGCCACCAAACCCCCCTGAGTGCCCGGGTGGCTTTGTTCAAGATGCATCTCCGTCCCGAAAAATGGCCCGTACCGTCGGGTTACAAGGATTAGACCTTCCTCACGTATTTTTGCAGATGCAAGGTGCTGGTTCATGAATGTATCCCGGGCTGGTGCAACGATTTCTTTGGCATGTGTCCACGGCGTGCCGATGTCGGGGGGTTCCCTAGGATCAGGTTCAGGGGTCCAACTCCTCGCAAGCGTCGCACGCGAACGAATCGTTGAGAGCTGTAGCCACCAACCCTCACCGTGCGATTGTTTTTTGCAGGCGTGCAATTTTAACGGATGTGGAATTAACATGGACCCCATAATTAAATTAGCTTGGGCTCTTTTGTATAAATGCATCCGGAGGGAGCAGCATTGTTGGCCAGACACCCATAGCACCTTTATCTCACCGTCGGTCTTGATTTGCTAGGCGGCTGTTCAGGGAAGCATGTGCAAACATGCTGGCATTGATTGGTTAGAGTTCGTGGGAACTTTCAGCCCGTCTTTGCCTACTACAAAGCAAACTAATCCAAAAGGAAATAGCCAGATAGGAAATCACCAGATTTGGGGGTTGCTGAAAGAACCCGAATCCCACTTTCTTTGTTGCACTCAACTAGGAAGCTGGAGTCAGCGGAAGGCATCCTTATGTTTCCCTTTTTGGCGTTTCCAGCATCATCGTGCCGTTGGCAATCTTGAGGGAAGTTGGGCCAGAGTCATGCGCAACCTTGGGTTGCTCAACGTCTGACCTAGATCAAGGGCTCGCTCGCTTCCTGCGTTCCGGGACTCGGAGTTTGGTCACTTAAAATGGGGCACCATTTTAGCGATTTTAGTGGTAAGTAAAAAAACAAGTTCCTGGCCTTTTGGTTGGCCAGTCTCAGGAAGTGATACTAGGTCCCCCCAGCTAGGTGCCATTTTTAACCCCTTTTTTGGCTGGGAGGGTTCCCCCACTAAAATAGACAACAGTAAAAAAATAATACAGGGTACCAACTTATTCTAGCCTCTCTACTGGAGGACCTAGTTGAGTTCATGGACTTGAGTCTTTTTTTTTGGGAAGAACCATTTTGGTGGCAAGTAAAAATCAAGTTCCTGGCCTTTTAGTTGGCCAGTCTCAGGAGGTGTGAGGGACGCTCCTGGGTTCATTCACCTTTACGAGCTTCTAGGGTTTGATTTCCATTTCTTTTCAACCATTTTGTTTTTCAACAAACAGCAGTTTCCCCTTGGGGGGTCCTTTCAAAAACAGCTGTTTCCCCTGGGGTTCTGATGGTTTTCTTAAAAATCGGATCCCTGGGGTTCAGAATAGAAATGGATCCCCTCAGGTGGACGACCTGAGCAGCGAGCTTCAGAAGCTCTCCGAGCTCACAGGCTGGGCCTTGAACACGGAGCAGGAGAATAGCAGCGGGGACGACGACATCAAGAGACAGCGCCTTGGGCTGGAGCCGAAAAGGAGAAAGGAGTTGTTTTTTTTCTGTTTTAAGTTGTTTTTTGAATCGCATTTGTGTGATTATTCCTATTATCATTATTATTATGTTTTTATTATTATTATTTTTATTATTATTATTATTTTGTTTTATTATTATAATTATTATTGCTTTCATTATTATTAGTATTATTATTATTATTATTATTTGTTTTGTTTGTTTTGTTTTTCCCACAGTTAAACACGCGGCCGGGCCACACAAAACTCAAGTTGGGTCTTCTGGTTTGTTTGCCACATCCAAGGCGTTTTCTGGGCGGGCGAGAGGAAACAGATGGCATGACCAGGCCTCTCAGGACTTTCTGTCAGGGCTTGAGCAACCCCCTCTCCCATAACTACGTTCAGAACTCCTCCCTAAGTGGGAAATAGCCATTGCCTTACAAAAAACACAGTCCCCCTCCCGGCATTTGCCATTTCACCTTTCTTGTTGATTCTGTCGCAGAGTTGGAGCCTCTATTGCCGGCCTGGATACACGATTCCTTAGGCGTCGTCACCTTCCTCCCATAGCATGGTCTATTGTTTGTTCAACAAATCCCAGCTCCAACGCGAAATTCCTTTCCCTTTGCCATGGTTTGTGAAGAACCTTGGGCATGGTGAAGTTGCCTACGTTTTGTTTTTGCAAAGACTGTAAGCGAGAGGCAGACACTCTTTGTGAGTGCGGTTTGTCGACCGTTTTGTATGGTACAGAAATATACACGCACATCACTTAGCAGCCTGCAACATTGTTAAATTGAGTTGGAGTCCTTTGTCTGCACAGAAATCAACAACAGACCAACTGGTTGTTGTCGCTGATGAACAAGGATGCGGTCACCCCCTTTATGACGGAGCATGCTGCTCCGTCTCTCTCTCTCTCTCTGTGTCTCTCTTCTCTGTAATTCGAGGGGCTAGGACCATTCCCAGCTTGGTATCACAGGCCTTCCTTTGGTATCACAGTGGGGTTTCATTGCCCTAAAGATCTTGGGCCAGCGAACAATCTTGAACGCAGCGGAGCTTGCCATATCGTCAAGGGCAGGGCTTAGGAGTCTTCTCCTTCCTATTGCGGGGGTAGATAAGAACTCCATGTCATTCTTGCGTGTGTGTGTGTGTGTGTGTGTGTGGCGAGCCTCTGATACGTCGAGAGACAACTTTTGCAGCAGGGGGCAGGAGCACCATAGCATGTCAACGAAGCCACCTGCCATCGGTGGTGATCTGATCATCCCAGGGTGCCGGCACTGGTATTACTGGGCTTGGTTCCCCCGATTGTGGTGTGATTTGGGGCCTGCCAACCTCCCCCTGGGAGTTGCATGGCTCCCCTTTGAACTAGCGTGCGACACATTGACATGGAGCCAATGCTGCTTGCGGCCCAGGTATTTTGATGCCATTTTTCAAGACGACGAGACCCGGTGTTCTGTTTGCAAGGTCTACGCTCAGGACTTTGTATGCTTGGGATATAGCTGGCCCTCTGGATGTACAAATGAAGCATGCGGCCAATTCGGCATTCACTTTCACCCGCTGCACTTTGATTGAGCGATGCGATTGCCCAGTTGCGTGGTGTCACTTCGAGTGATTTCATTTCCCTGTTTAGATTGCAACCTAGGGAGCCACCCTTGAAACACTAAAAGGAACACTCAAGTTTAGCTACCGCAGTGGTTTGCTTGGCATGCACTGGGCTTTCCTGACGATTCCTCCCTGCAACGGGAGCCAACGCCGGCAGGGCCGTGTCAGAAAGGGCATCAAGCTTGTTCTGTAAGGGAGACTGATGTTCTACCATCATGTTTGCCCCAAGAAATTCCACGTTGTGCCATTTGCTTCGCCTTGTAAGAGGGTCATTCTGGTGCCACTTTGTCAAGAACGAGGCAACGGGCCGCGTATCGTTCAACTCTGCTGCATTTATTTGGGTCAGCCCCCTGGTTTATCGGGTTCATATAGTCATTGGAATTGTTATCCCAGGTCAAGTGTCCCTAAAGATACAGCGGAGTCCCCTATCTTCGATCGAAAAGCTGCGAGAGAAAGTCGCGGAGCGTGCCTGGGATGGAAATGGGAAAGTACGTTTCCCTCGGCGCATATCGCTTGCCTGCTTGCTGCATACCTCTCATGTTCCCTTTTAGGCGGCAAAAAGTGAACTTGTTGCAGGGGGCTTAACCCCAGTGAAGAGAAGAGGTGCTTGCTTTGGGCGCTGGGCGCTTCCTGCTTGCGTTCGAGAATCTCCGCGGGCTAGAAATGCCACGATCTGTTTAGTCTTTCCAGAGCGGAACCAGCTGGGTTTTGTTGGCCAGCCGAAACAAGGCAACAAGCAAGCAAACCAAACAAACAAAGAAACACCAAGCAAAGAAACAAAAAAACAGATCACACAAAAAAAAACAGAGGCAGAAACATCAAACAATCAAACCAACAAGCAACCACAACACACAAGCAACCGACCAACCAACAACCGACCACTCAAACAAATAAACAAACAAACACAAGCAAACACACAGACACTTACACAATCGAACAAACTAAGCAAACAAACAAACAAACAAACAAACAAACAAACAAACAAACAAACAAACAAACAAACAAACAACAAACACATAAGCAAACAAACAAGCAACCAATCCAATCCAATCCAATCCAATCCAAACCAAAACCAAACCAAACCAAACCAAACCATCAAACAGCCGACCAACCAATTAATCAATCAATCAACCAACAAACCAACCAACCAACCAACCAACCAACCAATCAATCAATAAATCAAATAAATCAATCAATCTATCAATCAATCAATCAATCAAATCAAATAAATGAATCAATCAATCAATCAATCAATCAATCAATAAGTCAATCAATCAATCAATCAAATCAAACAAATAAATAAATAAATCAATCAATCCATCCATCCATCCATCCATCCATCCATCCATCCATCCATCCATCCATCCATCCATCCATCCATCCATCCATCCATCCATCCATCCATCAATCACACAAACAAACAAACTAAAACAAGGCACACTGAAACACAGACAGACCGACACCGACAGACCGAAAGACCGACAGACCGACCGACAGACAGACAGACAGCCAGACAGGCAAGTAAACAAGCATGCAGGCAAAACAACCAACCAAACAAACAAACAAGCAAGCAAAAGCAAGCAAACAAGCAAGCAAGCAAGAAAACAAGCAAGCAAGCAAGAAAACAAGCAAGCAAGCAAGCCAAGCAAGCAAACCAGCAAGCCAAGCAAGCAAACCAGCAACCCAACCAGCAAGCAACCAAAAATCGGCCAAACCAACCAGACCCCCTCGACTCGGTGTGCTCCGAGGCCTTGCGCTCGGAGTTGGGCTCCAGAGAGACGCCTTTGCAGCGTGTGGGCTCCCGGCCGTGCCGAATTCTCTCGCGGCAAAGTTAGGACTTTTTGGGGCCATCCACTCGGGATGTCAGCCCCAGTTTGTTGATAGGGACTGTGCCTGGGTTTCGTGGGGAATCAGACAACCCTTGGAGGGGAGCACCCCCCCTTCTGTGGATGCACCAAATCCGTTCGCACCACGAAATGAAACCAGGGTTGCAACCATTTGTTGGTATTTACGTAGGGGAATCATCTCTCGCGGTAAGGTTTGTCTCCCAAACTTGGGGCAGCAAACATGTGCTTTGGTGGCTTTAAGCCCTTGGTGGCTGTGGGGTGGCGCTAGGAGAGCAACAAAGAAAGCCCTATAGGGGGTTTGGGAGGAGCTAAAGTTTGTCCCCAAATTCGTGTCCTTTTCTAGGTGAGTTTGATTTGGAACAGATGGGTTCCACTGGTTTAGGTGAGTTTCTTCCATCCAGGGCCATCTATTTTTCCAGAAGGCCACCTATGTTTGTTCCAAAATGCGGGCAGCAAAGATGATTGAGTCACTTGCTCAGAACTGGGTAATTGGACGGTAAGGGACCATCGCAGCCATAAATGGGTGCGGATATCTGCCTTTTTGAATTGTTTGCATGGTTCTGGGGTAGAGCATTTTAATACCAGGTTTGATTATGACTCATATGGATTCGGACCCCAGAAATGGTTTCCTTGTGGATTGCCTTCGGTCTCCTTGCAATTCAGGTGAAAACGGCACCCTTGCCAAAAAGGGCACAGACCTATTTGTCTTGTCTTTTTTATTGTTCCCGGGGGGGTCCGAAGAATTCCCATCAAATTCCCCACTGCAAGCGGAATCCCCTCAAAAGTTCCAAAACACTCTGGGGTGGTTTGGGGCAGTGTTCCCGAATGTTTCAGGCTGTTGGGGATACCATCTGGGCTCATCTATTTTCTGCATGTGCTCAGTGGCGTCCAAACTTCTTCGTTTCTGCGTGCTCTAAAATCGACAAAGCCCCCATTTTCTTCTGTTGCTCGGCTAATCCGATGTGTTTCCTTCGACTTCAAAGCGGGTTTTCAGAACTTGACGGGGTTCGGCCCAAAAACAATGTGTTCCAAGTTCCCCAGCCAGGGTGGCCAGGGGGGTGGGGAGATTTCCAGAAGTCGCCAGCATGACGTGTTCTTTTTTCCAGGCAATGCAAATCACTGCGCAGGTTTCGGCGCAACCCTTCGAGTGCGTGGAACAATCGTGTTTTTTTTCAGACAACGAGGGTCAGAACACCCACGGATAGGTTTTCTAGTTGTTGCAGCGAATCCGCACAAGTTGGTCTCAAGCATCTGTTCACAGAGGTCCAGGCCACGACCATGCCTTGTACCTAAAGCGAACCCCTGCTTGTTGGTAAGTCGCGAGATGCCGCCAAAACCGAATCCTATTCAGGGAAACCAGGTATACGGGAGGATTCCCCCTAAATGGACCTTGACTAAGTTTGATCTGGGAAATGGCGCCAAGGGAATCCCTCGATATCCTCAGTTGTTTTCATTCTACACCGATGGAAGTTTTCCCGCGACAGCTTGAGCGTTCTCGGTACCCGGGGAATTGATCCACCCCATTGTTGGCCGGGTAGGTCTTTTGCTGTCCGTGTAGAGGTGCACAACTCCATATCACTGTTTTGCCGCGCTACATACTTGAAAAAAGGCACAACAAATTGACAGATGGTTGAGATTTGGCAGTTTTGCAGGTTCGCGTTCGCCTCTGAGAAGTTAAGACGAGGGCAAAGCATGAATAACTTGCTAGACAAAGCCTGCGTTTGCCACTTACCAGCCATGCCCTGAGTCACTGAGGGTTCGCCGTGGGGAAGGAGTGCGAGACCACAAGCGATTGGAGGCTGGGCCTAGGCAGCGCTTTGTTTTGGCATGATTCGGTGCGTTGACCGAGCTGTGCACGTGGGTTGTTGAAAATCAATCCTGAAGATCCTTGTGCGTGATGGTGGTTTCCCTTCTTGTATTGGTGTCCCACTTCGTTTACATGCGCTGGTGCGGCTGCATACAAAGTCATCGGCCTGAATTGCGGTGATAGGCTGGGACGTATGGCTATGGAGAGTTTGGATTCCGGGCAACTTTGTTTGACAATTGCAGCAGAGTGCGATTTCGCTAAGTTCGAGGACTACACAAGCTATGTCGTGTTTTTTGGCTGCTGCTGCTGTTTATTGAAACCACCCAAAAAGCGCCTGTAGTCCAACAAGAAGTCCACCCGCATATTTAACCCGCCCAGAATCTCAGAATGTAACCAAAGCCCCTTCCCCAAATCCATGGTCAAAGCCTGTAGCTTCGGCCAAATGAGCGTTCCCAGCTCGGAGGTACCTGTTGGGTTTCTCTCAGCGACTCTTTTGTTTCCTCATCGGTGGCCTCTGTCTTAAGAAAGCCGTGCATGGATGGATTCGCCGCCGCTCTTACGTCCCCCAAAATGCATCCATGGGAGCAAGAGCACACTCAAAGAAGTTAGCGCCAAGGGGTTGGGGTCCAAAATGCAACATGTCCAGTTGTTCGATGGCGTGCTAGAAATGGAGCAACCCAAGGCAGAACCCAAACAGGATCCAACAGTGACCATCTCGGCGGCGCCTTGGCCCGGAATCAGCCGCATCAAGAGGTTTGAAACCCCTGGCAGCGGCACACCACCAAAGCCTTCCAGAGCTGAGGATCTAGGATTCCTCTGGAGTGGTAGGCTTTCTTGCCAGGGTAGTGCACAAGCTGGTGCTCCTGTCCAAGCCGGATGCTGCGGGGGCTCTCATGGACACACAGGGCGCAAGCGCCGCGCGCTTTTAAGCAACCTTGAGCAGCACCCAACGGCCCCTTTGGCCAATCATTTTTTAGAACTTGGAGTTTTCCTGCCCAGGTTTGGCAAGAGTTTGGGCGAGGGCAGCAGCTTGCAGGGGTTGGAACAAAAAACCCAGCATGGGTTGGGGCGCTGCGAGCTAGCCATTTACCTGGTTGAGCAGCACTTGTTGCTGTCTCCGCCATGATGAAACACTGAGAGGACCAACATACAGGGTGCGAATACTGCATTTGAGGGCCGTACAGAGAGGCAACGCCCTTTAACCTGTAGCACAGCAGTCTTTCCCGGTGACTCCATTTTGCACATGACCAAAGTCAGTGCAGTTCGACCCATGCTGTTTGGTTTTTAAGCAGGGGCGAGCATGGGACATGACCCAAACTTCTCAGGTGGACTTTTGGGATGCACGACACGTCGTGCATACCTACACAACGGAAATAGTGGAGGGGCGCCAACTACATGTTTTCCTTAGCGAGTGGGCCTGCAGGTGATTGAACGAAGCCACACTGTCAGATGATTGCGTTTGAAGGCGGCAAGGGCCTTCATGGCACTGCTTGACGGCCATTTGTTGAAAGCTATTGCAAGCCTCACTGACGCCCAGTCACACTCGATACTGTCATGATTAAACAAGTTTTTCCCAAATGCTGGCCTGGAGGAGGCTTTGCTGAGTCTGAGGTTTGTATGTGGCCGGTAGCCTCGGGTGCATGTGGCACACGTGGTGAATGTAGTGTGGCAGGCGGGTCGACTCGCCCTGTTCAGGGGAAGGATTCAGGCTAGGCTTGTTCGCCACATGCACGACTTCTGTTGCGCCTTTCCAGGGCGTGTGCTTTTAGGTCCACAAGTTTGTTGTTTTTTGGTGTGGCACCTGAGCACATGGAATGAGGGCTCCAACTCTGCTTCAAGACACGCCTATTGCAAACGGAATCAGGCGGGCTTTCCATGCCAACACTCAGTTTATCCCCCTCGGCACCTTTTGCCCCGGCCAATGCGCGCGTCGACTGCCACAGACGTGGCTCCAGATTAGCCCGACGCGTTCATCGACGCGTTCGGATTTCTTGGCGTGTGAGAACGCCCTCAGGATCTTTGAGTCAAGCGGTCCCCCAGTAGTGCCCTTGTTTCGTTGGGAGGGTTCCCCTACTAAAATAGACTACACCAAAAAAAAGGGTACCCTTATTCTAACCTCTCTACTGGCTAGCCTTTAGTCACCGCGGGCCTCTCCTGACTCACAACATATCACTTTTTTCGGCTATCCGACCTCAAGCGCCAGCACGGCACAGCTATTTGTTTTTCTTTTGCACGGCATTTTGAATAGGCAGGCATGGCGCGCAGCCAGGAGCGGTTTGCGCTCTTCACATGGGATGACCAAGAGGGTTGAGTAATTACATCATTAGAACACGGCAGTGAGTTGATCACTCACACGGAGCTCCAGGAGGTCAGTTCTAGCGGCTTCTCTGTTGGCTTAATGTTGCTTGGCAGGGGGAGCGACTTGCTGGCTGGCTGGTTGTTTAGAACCTGGCACAGATTCTGGTGAGTCTGGTGTTGGCAGCTTGGTTTGCCTGCATGTTTTCTTGCGTGAACTTTCACACTGAAAAGATGTAAAACCCCCCGCGGACCTGAAGGTGTGCTCCCCCAGAATACCCACCAAGAGTTCTGCATGGCACCGTGTTGGTTGCTTCCCCTGAAACATTCACCAAGAAAGGAAGGCCCTTTGTCCAGCCCGCTGTTCAAGTGAAGTCAGGGGTGCCCGTTCACTAGACCTCCGTGGAAGTTTGTTGTTTCATGCGGTTTCTTCCCCAGAATGAGCTCCCCTTTTCTTTTGCTTCTTTGGGGTCCCTTTGTTTTCCGCTAACCAGGCAAAAAAGATATGTGTTTGCTGGGGTCCTAATTCCAGCCAGGGTTTTTCTTTCAAGTCAGCCTGAAGCCCTCCCCCCAAAAGCATTTCTCGAGCAGCTGGGGCAACAGGTCCCATTGACTGAACCAAGTCTTTTCGCCCCAGGGCGTCCCAGACGGGTTTCCGCTTTGGCAGGTAGTCTGGCCAGTAGGGTGGTGTCCCTTGCCTTCTGCGGCAACTTCCGTGAAACCTTAGGAAGCAGAAGGCGGCTGGACTTTGAACCAACGGAAGTGAGGTATCCAGCTCAAGAGTTGCGATTTTTCGGGGGGCCCTTTTTCTTAACCTTCGGCGCCCTGGTACAGTTTCCTTTTCCCCCAAGCTGTCCAAGGGGAACCCAATAAACCAACAACAAATGGTGCAGGTCAAAAGCCCGCAATTTCTCCCCACCCAACTGTTGGGTGGGATCCGATATGGTCATCAGCCCGCGAAAAAGCAACTTCAGTTTTGCCTATAAACCGCTCCGGACCGGTCCCGCGTTTTCCGCAGCTTCCCGGCTCGATAGAACCGCCGCGCGCCGAAAACAAAGGGACGCGCACCAGAAACCGGAACAACCGCGGTGGTAATCAAGCGTTGTTTTTTCTTACCGTGAGTGAACTGGGTTGTTGCCATTTGACGGCCAATTGGGCCTGACGATCACGTTCTCCACGTCGGATGTCGCTGCTTCCGGGGCCCCTCGGTGGACGGGTTGGGGCGAGAATGACTCTTTCGACGGCTCGGCAAATAGCCTCTCGTGGTGTGTCTCAAAGGATGCGCATGTGTACACACACATAAAATATATATATATATATATATATATATATGTATGTATATAGTATACATATTAGTTGTAGGGCTCGAGCCTGAAGGGATCGCCAGCCTCTTTCTACGCAGCAATGTTTCAACTCAAAAAGAACAAACGATTACGCCTGTTCGAGCGGCTGATGGTGGCGTACAAGCAAGATCCGGACTACACACCGGAAAACAGCAGGGCTTGCTATGGATTTATCACTGTTTCAAGAGCATGTGCGAAGGGTGAAGGGGAGCACGACGGAAAGAGGAGGTTGGCCAACGCAGGGGGCATGGTTGACAGCAGCAGGAGGACCCGCTGGCTTAGCCATGCTGAAAGAAGCGGTGGATAAGTGTGAATGTGAGGCTCGAACGAAATTCCTGGCCCAGAACTGGCATTTGCCCAACCCCCGGAATGCCAACAGGCAGCATGACAAGACCAGGATTTCGCCGCACATACATTTGGCATGTCCTGCTCAGGTTTTTTTTTACTCAAGGGCTCAAGACGCCGTCAGAGCTTCAGCCGGCACGCGCCGCGGGCGAATGCACCGAGCTTGCCAGAGAAGAAAGTTGTACAGGAAAGCTCAAAGTCAAAACACAACAACTCGGTTGTCGTTGGGAAACATTTTGCCAATTTTTGCTTGTTGCGGTTTAGTGGTTGGAATCCAACCACTTAACTGCTAAAATTTAACTCTTGCTCCCCTTCCAACGTCAACCATGAAAAGACAGATGAGAAGTCAAACAGTGCAGCAGGAGAGAAGCGGGAAACGCTCCGAGCGAAGACGGGAGAAAGACAACGTATCAAATGAACACGCAGCCAACGGAGGTCTTGGAAAAGGACACTCTGGCAAGCCAACGCAGAACCCTTCGTAAAAACAAGGCGCAGGCCGACGAGGCTCGGGATCGAAGGTGTAACAAGCGCTCATTTAAACAGCTGCGACGCGGACCGTCGCAACTCACAAAGAGAAGGAAACGGACACAAGCGAAACGGACGCCCTATATAGAGATTGTTCAAAAAGGTACTCTAAACATGCGAGATTCCAAGAAGGCTGGACGTAGAGAAGATTTCGAAATTCGGATTCCAAAGAATGATGCCAGCATTCTAGCGCCACAAGAAACCCATGCCAACACCAACACCAGGGAGGTCAGAGGAGAGTTTATTTGGACCTTACGCAGCTCGACTCCCATTAGCTTTGTATCAGCAGACACGCCACAATTGGACAGACCAGAGCACAAGAAGCAGGATGTTTTCAGGTCATAGTCAGCTACCGGCTGCTTGTCACCCCACGGGACCCAAGTTTGAAAAAGGGGGTTTGGGTGCTAGGGACCTTGGACCGCATGGCGGCCAGGAAGCCCAAAACGAGTTGTCTCAAGCGGAACCTTGTTTTGGATATTTGAAGAGAAGCACCCAGATGATTCAGCAAACCGGCTTTCAGGAACTGGTGGGGTTCCCATATCGAAGCGTCATATGCCTGGGTTGTGCAAAGCTATTTCTCCGTTCTTCCGCCAGATGGCAGGTGTTGCCCTTAGTGTCCTATGGACTACGGATTCGGATCGGGGATCGAAGATGTTGAACAAGCCAGCGCTTGCGGTGAGATCAGTGAGTCCAAGGCAGAAACTGAGCTGAGATTCCCAGAGCAAGCAATCTAAGCAGTAGAGAGGTTGGAATAAGGGCACCAACTTTTCTTTGTAGTCTATTTTAGCAGGGGAACCAAATCTCCCAACCAAAAACAGGGGTTGAGAAGGGCACTACTGGGGGACCTAGTAGAGCTCCCCGGGCACCTGCACTTTTGACGTGAGCTCGTTAGGGTGATCGCCTGAGGCAGCTCTTCCGGCTCTATACGCGGGATGCTTCGCGGCTTCGGCTGAATGAGTTTGATCCAACTGGTTTTCTTGCTGTTTTTAGTCTCCCTCACCAACAATGGGAATGGAAGGAGGGTTTTGGAAGGCATGTCCCTAGTCCCTATGTCGACCCGAAGTTGCGTCTGGTTCAATGGCTCCGGGTTCCAATTTCAACGGGCGCCAACTCAAATTCCCGGGGGCCAGGGAAGCCCCGTGAACCATTTTGGGAATCCGGTTTTCCATCGGGTGCCTTGGTTTCAGGGACCAATTTCTGCCTTTATCCCAGCCCTCAAGAGCTGGAACAACGAGTATCCACACAGATGGCTGGAATCCAGGTAAGGTCCGGTGCGATATGGTGCCCTTTTTGGAGAGAAGGGACACAGTTGCCAGGGAGCCCGCCCGCCTGGCTAATTCCTGCGTGCTTTATGCCAAACGCCAGCTTGGGCGTTTTGCCGGGCCGGGGAAAGCATGTTGCTGAGATAGAACAACTCAGGTCGCACTTGTTTTGCGGCGTCTCACTGACGATTTTTCGCCCTTGCGGTTTGTAGTCGGAGATACGAATTTCAATGACAAGAATGCCAATCAAATGACAAGGACACAACTTATCGGAGGAACGGGGGTTGCCTTGCGGCCACCACGGGCAAGCGACAATTCTTCTGCAGTCTGTGGGACCCGCCGATCCCTACCCTTTGTTTATCGGAATCGGGCGGATGGCCTTTTCAAAGAAAGTAGATGTCCAAAACTTATTATCCTTTTCACTTTCAAGTTTGTTGGAAAGCGGGTGATTTCGCTTGGTAAGCGGGGACCCCTTGGGGACACTTTTTCTGGGCATTCCTCATGCTTTCACTTGGGGTTTGAAGGAACCGTTGTGGACCCTTACGGATTTTAGCCATGTAAGGCTTCCCTTGGAAGGGAACCATAAGCTTAACCCATAGGCGGAGTTTTGAACCCACGTGATGTGATAGTGCTTTTGTTTCCCCCGTATCCAAGGACCACAGTGCTTGCAGTGCTGGGCTGGACGACTCTCTTCAGCATCTACGCCTCTTGGATCTGTAACATCGCTGGTGACGCTGGGTATGATGTGTCAATGCCCCCACCTGTTGGGCCTCCCTGAAACCCAAACGCCCAAACGCACACACACGCACACTCACACACACACACACCCACACACGCGCACACGCACACACACCCACACACCCACACACACACACGCACACGCACACGCACACACACACACAAACACACAAGCACAAACACACAAACACACAAACACAGACACACACACACACAAACACACACACAAACACACAAACACAAACACAAACACAAACACACACACACACACACACAAACACACACACACACACACACACACACACACACACACACACACACACACACACACACACACACACACACACACACACACACACACACACACACACACACACACACACACACACACACCACCACACACACACACACACACACACACACACACACACACACACACACACACACACACACACACACACACACACACACACACAC